ACTTTATTCGACATACCAAAGTTGTACTTTTAATTGTATTTTTTGTAAGATCATATACTTAATCTATGTACAATCAGAGTATGTCCTTATTTTTTAAATAATTTATACATTCGAGAAAACGATTCCTACCTTTTTGCAAACATGTTAGACGTACAACAAAATAGTATTTTAATATATTCCTTTTTTAACCGTAATGTTATAGTGCATCCTTGTAAACAGCAGCATCGTTAAAAGCGTATATATATTATTCCTGCACTTATATATATATATATATATATATATATATATATATATATATATAGATAGATACAAATCGTAACGTGCTATAGCATTATCACGACAAACAATATTAAAGGTTACTTGTATTTACACAAAGAATTTGACAGATTAATTGCATTCGTATCGCGTACGCGTTTACGGTTTGTAATTTGTAACAAGTGTATTATAGAGACTATATGCTATAATATAACACTTGATAACACTATAGTTGCCCCACGCCCCACCACTATTTCCTTCAAGGCCGATGAATCATACCACATCTGATTTCACCGCTTAAATTTCAAATTGAAAACGCGAATACTGCGCTAGATCGAATATTACATTTAAATGCACTAAATTGCATTAAATATTGCATTACAAAGTTTTATATGCCGATCACTCTATGTATATGTATACAACTATAATTAACTAAATTAACTAAATTAAGTGAATTATTATTCTAGATTTTATAAGATCTTTGAAAAAAATCCATTTACTACTCGCGTTAGAGCGGAACAGTTGTTAGATTGGATACATAAATTTGATAATTCAATTCAATGCAGCGATTCGTGGTTTGAAGTTTCCGCAAAAGAAATGCCAAACTATTGGACTTGCGAAGGAGATCATGTACTTAATTGGAAACACCGTGGTTATAAAACACTGTTTGATTTACTATCTGTAAGCATAATTTATATTAACTATAATTGCGAAATTTGATAAAGAAAAAGTTTGATAACATGTATCGTTTATTTCGTTACTCTTTTAGAGAAAGACTTCCAATCCAAAAAATGTATTACCCATAATGGAGAAGATCGAATTCAATAAGGATGTTTCCAATATTGACTACACATCGATTAATAATATAATTGTAACAACAAAAGATGGTTCCAAATATATAGCATCTCATGTTATATTTACTCCGTCGCTTGGAGTTTTAAAAGAGAAACATGCTACGATGTTTACACCAATCTTGCCAGACAAGAAACAACACGCATTGAAGGTACACGCATATAAAAATATGAAATGATATCTTAATTCGATTTTCTGGATTTAAAATCTCGCCATATATTTAATTTTCAAATATTACTTAGGGTTTGAATATTGGAACTGTAAACAAAGTTTTCCTGGAATTTCCACATAGATGGTGGAAGAAAGATTGCGCCGGTTTCAGTTTAATTTGGCCTAAAGAAGACAAAATAGAATTTCTTAAATCTCACGGACAAGTACTACATGTACTATTTAATACTTATTATCGATATCGTTTCTTAAATATATTAAATATATCGTGTGTGATTTAGGAATACGAGTGGCTCTGTGATGTTTTTGCATTCATTCCTGTAGACTACCAATCACGAGTATTATGCGCATGGATCTCTGGTAAATATGCAAAACAGATGGAATTGCTTCCCGATAATGATGTATCCGACGGATTATATCTGCTGCTAGAAATGTTTCTCGACAAAGCATACGACATTCCAAAATTTGATCGAATACTTAGGTAGTATTTTACAACGTAATATAATTCTTATTATTGTTACGCATTATCAAATCTGTCCGTATACCTAACGTTCCTCCACATTAGTTTGTACTAATGTATTAATATTAGCATTTCTCTTGTTGCTCGCTAGATCATCGTGGTATACGGATGAACATTTCCGTGGATCTTACAGCTTTAGAAGTATAACAACCGAGAAGCTGAATGCGAAAACAAAAGATTTAGCAGATCCACTTGTAACAACTGATGGTAAACCTGTATGTATTTCTCATAATTTAATATTCAAATAATAGCGCGTATCAGATTTTCTAATAATTTCATTTCCTCGTTAGATAATTCACTTTGCTGGAGAAGCGACGCACGATCATTATTATTCTACCGTGCATGGAGCAATTGAAACAGGTTTCAGAGAAGCGGATAGAATAATAAACTTTCATAGGTAAATTCAACAATTTTTTCGTTTTCACTCCTATAAATGTTTGAAATTTATTTGGCGAAATAAATTCACTTTTACAATCGTTGTACTACTTTTATACACATTTTATAGTATTTGTTTAATTATCTTGATTTGCATTACATACTATAATTTATATATGTTCATTCGCAACTCGTCCTTTATTCCATGCAACATGTTTACTTTTCTTTCTGGACTAGGTCCATAAATAATATACATACAAAGACAATTTGTGTGACTCGTAGTTTGTAGTATACATTCTTTTGTTTTTGTTTATTATTATTATTATTATTATTATTATTATTATTATTATTATTATTATTATTATTATTAATTTCAAATTATTTTTAGTTTAAAAACAAGGTATGAGCGAATGATCACTGTATATTAAACATGTTTAATGTTTGTATGTTCTTATATGATTTCGATTTATACGTTCTATTCGTATTGATCAGCATGCTTTTTCTTAGGCAACTAAAGTCACAGCTCTAACCAGAGCCACATGTTTCTTGGTAAAGGATGACAGTCAGTTATAAACTTACTCGATGCTTTACAACATCCAGGGAACTAATACTTCTTATATGTATATTTACAACCTTCTAAACAAATAATATTAAGTTGTATGTGAATATTTGGGATATGTTTAAATAACGGTTTAATTTCATGATCTTGTTCCTATGTTTGAATCCTCTACTAATTATTGTTACAAGTAATAAATAATATTACAGAGTTAGTTGAACGATGTTGTCTGTTATTATCGCATCACATTTGTTAACATCTGTTAATCGTTATGTTTACGTTTTCATTGTCTGCATCTGCATATTCTCTTGATTCACATATACAAATTCATAAAAGAATCAAGTGTTAATAAAAACATCACAATTGGAATCATGTAGAACACGTGATTGGTTAAAACAAGTGACGAACAACTTTGGAAAAATGGGAAGAATACCGAGTACTATTAGCGAGATAACATCGAGAACAAAAGTTGTAATAATAGGAGCCGGAATAGCAGGATTATCAGCTGCAAAAACATTAGAAGATGGAAATTTTAATGATTACTTACTACTCGAAGGTAAATGAAACTTTGTACCGGAAGATAAGTATAGTATGTTACAATTATGATTAACAACTTATTTCATTTTATTTTCAGCTCAGAATGTGGTTGGCGGTCGAACAGTATCATTACCATGGAATAAAAGTTGGATAGAAGTTGGTGCTCAGTTCTTACATGGCGATCAAAGTCAGCTGGCACAACTTTGCTATGAAAACAATTTACTTTCGGACATTCAGTTTCGAGACGGTCGAGGCATTTTTATTCGCGATAATGGCATTAAAGTCGAAGAAACGTTAGTAGAAGAGATAAATGATCTCGTTCATAGTACTCTAGAAATTTGCGAAGATTATGTGAACAAGGACGTCGAACCGGAATTTGAGAATATCGGCAAAGTTTTATGGGCTTCCCTCGAAAAGCATTTGCAAGAAGGAAACGAATCGTCGTCAAGATCAAGTATAAAAAGAGAGATTTTCGATTGGAACGTTAGATTTCTCATGATCGATAATTCTTGTCTCACGTTAGACAAGTTGTCGACAAAGTCCTGGGGAAAATTCAAGGTAAATATAGGTAACAGGTTTTCTAGCGTCCAACACTTGACGATCACATCAAAATAATAAAGTATATATGTGTGTATATATATATTATATATATATACACATACACTTGACAGTTTGCTAACGGTCCGGAACATCTTTCGTTGAAAACCGGATACAATTCGTTAATAAAACTTATCGCAGATGGATTGAATAGAAAAAATTTGCGTCTAAACACTTGCGTGGAATCCATCGAGTGGCGACGGGTTGTTCATGATGATCACCGCACTCCTGTTCTATTGAGACTCTCCGATAACACCCGAATTCTCTCCGACTGCGTCATAATCACTAGCTCGCTTGGTTATTTGAAAGAGAATTATAAGAACATGTTCGTACCTCCGTTGCCATCTCCGTTTGGTCGGGCAATCGAGAGCCTTGGATTCGATTTGATTAATAAAATTTTCCTGGACTTTGGTACACCCTGGTGGAAACCAAGTACAGAAGGATTTCAATTGCTCTGGAAGGAGCGTAACTCGACCAACTTTCATAGTAAAACATTGGCTGCGTGGACTAGAGATCTGACAGGCTTCGACGTTATTCCTGATCACGAGGGTGTGCTTCTCGGTTGGGTCGGTGGTCGTGGAGCTTATACGGTGGAAACTTTAAGCGAACAACAGGTAGCGATCGATTGCACAAAATTGCTCAAACATTACCTGAAACTCGATGAAATTCCATCGGTGAAGAAGTGTCTGCGAACTCAATGGAATAAAAACAAGTACGTTCGAGGTGGTTACAGTTACATTTCAACAAAATGTGACAAGAATGGTGTATCGCCGGCCACATTAGCAGAACCAATATGGAGCAACGTAAAAGGAAATAATAGTACGAAGGTAAGCAAAAGAATGCAACCAATCGTCGAATATAAAACCTGTTGTAAGATATCGTTTTATTTTAGGATGTACCCGTTATCATGTTCGCCGGTGAAGCAACTCATGAGAACTTTTATTCTACGACTCATGGAGCTTACGAAACCGGTATAAAACAGGCTCAAGTTTTTCTACAACATCACGTTTCAAAAAGTTGATCTTAAAAATACCCACAAATACGCGTGTTTACAAATACACATTCTTTGTATACATATACGATGTACGCATAGATATACATATACATACACGCACAGCTTTAACTTGAAACGAATAAAAATTTGATATATATGATACCGAAGAAACTCATTTATATAATTCCGATCGAGTTTAAATATTGATCTAGTCGATCGTATCTAGCATCTGTCTAGGTAAATAATGCTATTTTGTTATGTTTTTGCTATATAGATTCATCAGTCTCTCGGCCTCTCTCCATCCAGAACCGATTGCGCCGTGTACCGTAGAGAAATGATGTTCGTTAGTAGCTTCTCCGGCAAACAGAATCACCTAAAACGAGAAAAGGACACGACGATACGATGACACGATACAGTAACGGTATACGGTTTTAGTTGTGATTTTTTAAAACTGATTTATCGAAGAACTTACCGGTTTATCCATTGTTATAATCGGTTCGGCTAACTGTTTCGCGCTCGAATTCGTTCTCTGAGTTTCTATGGATCGGTAGCTATACGTGCCACGAAAATGTTTGTTTTGATGCCATTTACTTCTACAGAGAAGAAACCAAGAAGATTTTACGACGAAACAGAAAGAAAGAGAAATGTTTTGATAATTTCCAAAATGATTCTACCTTATCATTGCTATAGGTCTAGTAACGTTGTATTTTTTTCCTAGGAAATGTTGTAAAATGTCGATAGTTTGATTCAGGACCTCGTCGTCTGTGAGGTCATCCATTAAACGCGCACCTCTTCCGGAAATCCATAAAAGCAGCAAGCGAGGCTTATGTTCAACGATGGCAATTCCTAGTACGTGTGGTAACCACTTTGTTTTTATCTAAAAGAAATACACGGAAATGTATTAGGAAAGTAATGGTAAGGTTATCGGTAAACTTTAGTTGTACGTAGTACCTACATACATTGGCATCGAGCTCCTTCCTTTCCGTTTCATTCCACAAAAGGCTGAACATCTTGCTCTTCATTCCTCTATTATTGTACCAAGTATCGTTGAATGCCAAGATTATTTTATCAGCGTTCCCAAACCCTAGACCCTGAGAGTAAAGTTAACAGAGTAGAATCGATATTCCGTAAAGAAATGTTCGGCTAGAAAAGAAGAAGATCGAAGAAAAAAGTATAGGTCCGGGTACCTTGATGTTTCTGATCTTTGACTCTGGCAATCGAGGGGTGAAGATAGTTTCGTACTGTGCCTTGAGCACCCCTAAAGATGGTGTCATGATTACGTGATCGGCTACGTATTCCTTATTATCGAGCGTGGTTATTTTTACGATACCGTCTTGGTTCGAATAGTCGACTTTTGTCACCTCAGCTTTGAGAATCGTTTTATTTAACACGGGCAACTCTTCTTCTGGATTTGGGAATTTTTTCTAAAACGAATAGTTTAAATACCATACATATACATACGTATATTACATTACTACTATTACATTATATGTATATAATTTTCTAAATAGGGACGCGTCCAAACCATTAATATATCTAAGATGATGCTGTAGCCGCGTTCCTTCCAATTAATCGCGTTGTCACCCGGGCATGTCATATACGCATCCTCTTCTGGTGATAAATCGTACCAGGAATCTGCGGCATCGAAGCTCATCTGCATCTGGTCCAAGTACCACAGTAACTGTTCTTGCATCGTTTCGTTTAATTCCGGGAACAGTGCAAAATACTCTTTCAACCTAACAGCGGGAGGATTTGAACGGAAGTTGAGTGTAAATGAGTGTACAGAGTACAGCGTGGGTATTTATCGCTTCAGAGATGGGCTCGGAACAAAAAATAGTTTTTCAATTTTCACGTAATAAATATCGTACCATCATTTCTTTGGAACGCTATGGCATGCAAAGAAGCGAACATGCACATGAAAATGTTTCATCGTAAATATAGGAATTGCATACAATTGACGTTACTCGCAGTAGATGAAACGAACAAAATTTATTTTCAGAAATGGTATGCATATGGCATTGCTATTGCCGATTACGATAATTTTATCTACTTGTACGGTTTTTTCTTTGCTACTAAATTGTTTTCGAGTTCCCGATGCTCTTACGATACGGTACACACGTACATATGTATATCCACGCGTTACCGATAACCTTTGTATAATTCTGGCCTTGAATACAAAAAGTTCGTACTTGATTTCGTAGCATTCGCCAACAGAGCCATTGCAGTTCTTTAAAGAATTCTTTGACTCCATTAATTGGAAATAAAAATCCGAAATGTTTTTCGTAATTGTCGGGTCGATTAACTCGCCGGACGAGGTAAACATTTCGTAATAAAAGGGATCCGAGTGATCGGTGATATTCAAAGGAGCTGCTAGTTGATACACGACGTTTCCTTCCTCTCCATGAATCCATTGCGCACCTAAATCGACACTGTATTCGTCTGTGGGAACACGAATTTATCCTTGTTAAGTTGCTGCTAGCTATATTATATGTACAATTGTACAATTCTTCGAGCCCTCTCGAACGAACAAACTAAACGAGAGATATCAAGAGTGGCCGCGTTTCGTATACATATAATATTACACGAGACTCGGTAATGCAAACTACAAACTTTTATATCCATCATTGTATCCTCACAACTGTTTTACCAATGGATCAGGCCATTACAATTACAGACTATCGTTAATTTATTGAAAATATCGTACTCTTGCCGCAAAGATACAGTGAGTATTATATGTATGTATCTGCGACTACCTAATAGCTATCCTCTCTTGTTTACTGTACAGACTTTTTACCTCCGAAAAGTTTAGCCAATTCAAAGTTCTTGAACCTGTAATCGAATCGAATCGAATCGAATCGAATCGAATCGAATCGAATCGAATCGAATCGAATCGAATCGAATGATATGGTCTGGGAAATTTTTGTATATGGTCGTTTGCCGGTAAAATAAACAGTCGATTTTCTTTAAGAAACATTTACCGTAGCTAAGATAACTGATTGTCAGTGAACTCACCAAACTTAACTGTGTGCACTCGTCCGCCGATTCTGTCCTCGGCTTCCAAAATCAGAACATCTTCGAAACCGTTTTGGAGTAGCTTCGATGCAGCCGCGATACCCGAAGCACCAGCGCCGACGATCACGATCCTCGGCGAACCTGCGTCTACGTAGTTTGTTCCTGTCACCAAACAAAAGATAAAAATTCCGGTATAAAGCATTTTCGCGACACCGTGTCGAACTCGGAACACGAATTTCTGTCAGCTGATCGAACGGACATCTAGTTTTACGCAGTGACTTATATACACACTTGCGTCATTGTTCGTATGACAATTTGTCTTTGTGAGGAATCAGAGCAATTGGTAGTAGTGATGGCTACATAATAGCTAATAGCCAGAGATAATCGTTTAAAATATAGATAATTACGTAATTGTATTGATGGATCGGTGCTGACTGTTGGATACGATCCTATAGGATGCGCGTATCTATTACCTACCAGCTTCGAACTTTTAACGAAGCGAAGAGGGAAGAACATTGCATCATGATCGTACTTACATATGTGCGTGCCGCGTGCTGCTAGATCGAAGCAAAACGTGACTTATACCTTGCATTTCGTTTTTTCTTTTTCAATTAAATTATTATCAATTATTATTATTAACGTAGCCTTGTTTCCGTATCAAACCCGAGTATAATTTAAAAAGTTTACATTTACAAATCTCGCTTTTATGACATCTTTCATTTGAAATTTTATCTCACGTTTAATTTATCAGTACATATTTAGTGTCGTCGAATGAAACCTAGATATAAGCTTATCTCGCATCGGAAAGGAGTTAGCGTACGAACAGCTTTTGAAATTCTCGTTGTAACAAGAACAAAAGTCTCGAAAGAAACTAAAATAAAAGTGGTACGCACGTATAAAATTTTACATGCGATTCATCGGTTTTACTTATCGTTCTTCCTTGTTCATGAGTGTTAAATCGGGAATCTTTGACAATAAAATAGTATGCGATAAGGTTCGACAGTCTGGAAAATTCCTCTCTCGATGCTAAATAAACAATTTTAATTTTTGTGACCTGCCAAAGGGTCACATGATTTCCGAACATGTTACAAGTTTGAATATTATTCTTGATAAACCAATGGGATCGGGAATATCGAGATGCAGACAACAGGGGACGCTGTTTTCGATGCGTGGATACAGTCACAGTTAGATAGATACACAGTACCACCAGAGCACACAGTGCTACACACACACACACACACACACACACAGACGATCGATGGATCGATCCATATTTAGATTCGCATTCGCGTATGTCCCGTACGCACAGATTAAATTGAACGATTAAACTTCTGAATCTGCATATTATGTTACTTTTAACAAATATATTTATCTTTTCTAATGTCATCGCAAACTGCAAAGCATTCTTCGGACTTGAAAAGGAGGTGGACACGTGACAACATATAAATATAACACAAATATGAAAATCATGTATTTTATCCACCGGATGTTGTGTTTGTAACGCAAAACTTCTTTTCCCTCTTTTATTTTTATTCTAGTTTTGATTTGATCCAAGGCTAAAGAAAGATCTGTCTCTGCTGGTTAGAATCATTAGAATTAGAATAATGGCATTCAGACTCAACATTCTCACGATACTTTTATTGTTTACGATTGCGTTAGTGTTGCCCGCAAAGAATTCAGGTTAATTATTATTATTTTTGGATTTGTACGCGTACTTTGTTTATTGTATTATAATTTTTTTCAATTACATAAATCTTGGCGATTTTAAACTACACTTTTACAAGTTTTTCAATTTTCTTAAATAGCTATAAATTAATAAAAATCCATTTATTCGAAACACCATTAGTCTGCCAATGTTAAGTGATCAAAATTTTTTCCTTCAAAATCACGATACAACTGCATATTGGAGCGCTCAATCATCTTTGCCACCTTTAACCAATCCCAATAAACAAAGTCAAGTTTGGCATGTTAGCATGTTGCATTTTACAATAATATGTCTTTCTTACAAGATGTTCGTGATTCAGAGAAGAATGTAGTTTCTGAGAGTACATCCAACCATGGAACCAGTCAGTCCAACGACAAGTCATTGGTTCCAAACCAGATTTCCAATAAAATAGCTGGCTACACGAATGCTGCAACCAAATCGGAACAAAGTAAGTAGACAAACCGATAGTTGACGTTTCATAATATCAACCCTAATATTAATTTATAATCTTGATACGTTAGTGTGCCAAGAATATGCCAGACAAATTCCAAGCACTCCAGGAGTACTGTCTCTGGTTGGCACCAATTCAGAGGTGATTACTGAAACCAACCAAGATTGCGTAAATGCAAATCGACTTGTTATCGGAGGTGTTACTGCTCTTCCTGGTGAATTTCCTCACATGGTAGCTTTAGGTACAAGAACCAACACGGGAATGTTTCGTCTTTCGTGCGGTGGGACACTCATTGCACCGGAATGGGTACTTACAGCGGCACATTGCACTTACCTGCCAAAGTATTACTCGACATGTTCTTTATTTTAACTAATTATCACAAAAGATATTTTTTCTATTAGAACAGTTAATTATTATACAAAAGTTTTTATCAAATGCCGATACTTTTATTATAGTCCTACGGATGCACGGATCGGTTTCCATGATTTAAGGGATAATCAGCACGGTATTACGACAACGATTAATAAAACGATACGTCATGTAAATTACAAACCTCCTACCATATATGATGACATAGCCCTTATAAAGTTAAATACTGCTGTTACATTTAGCAAGGAAATACGGCCTGCTTGTCTATATCAACGGTACGATACTATACCAATGCAAGCATGGGTCAGTGGCTGGGGTGTTACCGAATTTGGTATATTTACCATTAAAATATCGTTGCATTCTGAGGTACTTTTTAGAGCAAAATTTGTGGAAAATTCTAATGTAATTGTAGAAGCTGAAGAAGGAAGCAATCAATTGCAAAAGGCGCAGCTTGATGTTATCGACAACTTAAGGTGCGCGATTAGACACAATCAATCGATAAAAATACCATACGGAATTACACCAAGTATGGTCTGTGCTGGAGATTCTCGCGGTGGTTGGAATAAAGACACTTGTCAAGGTGATTCAGGAGGTCCGTTACAAGTAGTTCATCCGAAAAATTTATGCCTCTTTCAAGTACTAGGTATTACAAGTTTTGGACAAGGCTGCGCGTTCGTCAATATGCCAGGAGTATATACGAGAGTCTCCCATTATCTCAACTGGATAGAGGATATCGTTTGGCCGTAAGTTTTTAACTTTGCAGTAATATCAATGTAAATTTCACTTTGGAAATTTAAAAAAGTTTATTTATTTTGCAAGTAAATGCCCCGAACTACTTAAATATTAAAAGTTTCAAATACAATTTAATATTAATATTAATATTAATATTGTTTAACGATTTCATACATTTCAGATAACGATAGAATTATTTTTTTTTTCAAGTATCATTATCGATGCTGTGATCAATACATATCTATACACACACACATACACGCGCGCGCGCGCGCGCGCGCGTTGCCGATAATTATGTAGATTTACAGAAAAAAAAAGGAGAGAAAAAAATACAAAAGAACGGATATTATTTTTACATTGACGTTAATTTTGTTGAAACACCTTATGCCATTTAACGTACACCACGTGTACATTTTATGTAATACTAAAGTATTTCTGCTTGACTAGAAAAATTTGATATCTATGAAAGTAAGTTGATCGTGATTGTTGAAAATAAATGCAAAATGCCGACGATAGGCATACGAATTACACTCAAGATATCTTTGCATCGTGAATGGTTCTCCATGTTAATCCATCTCCATACGGATGATGATTCGATGGAAACAATACGTACCACCAGCTTCTATAACGATAAAAGAAGAAAAGAAACGATGATACAATGTGTCCAACTAATATATTAAACAATATTTTCAACATAATGAAAGCGATAGTTTAAATTACCTTCCAATGGTGCCTAAAAACAACTTCCAATTTTGTCTTGATCCAAAATTATATGGATTTTGATATAGCTTTCCAAGCGCCTTATACTTTTGCATTTCCGTGCTATTTATCCTTGCTTCTATGCTTGTTTCTCCTCTAGTGATAAGGCCCGCATGCCACCACATTAATGCTCCTAATGCCGCAAAAGTAGCTACGCATATTAACGCTGCGAAAACTATAAGCCTTCGTCTCCACTCTTTCGCACTCGTGTCTGCTGCTTGTTTGGCTATTTCAGCTAATTCTTCTTGACTTAAATGATCCAATGATTCTGTCTGGAAGAAGAATAGTATAGTGGTAAGTATAACGGTTCTTGTTTGAGATTTCATTCTTTTTTTATCCCCAAGAAAATTGTAAAATTTACCACAGGAATAATTTCGGAATTGTTAATGCGCACAGGGTGACCATCTAATTCTGGATCTTGCGTTGGAAAGAATTCTTGGTATGCTATTTCAACTCCAAAAATCATAACAAATAGAATCCCAAATACCGTAAAAACCATATATTGGAAAAAGTATCGGTGATTGTAATGACCGACGCAATTATTCAACCATGCTATTTTCTGAGTAAAGAAAACTATAAAAGCTTGTAGAAATGGAACAAAAATTGAATACTTTATCTAAAAAGATACGGCAATGATGATCCATCTTAAGAATGCATTTATTGCATACTGAACAATGATGGGTCCTAGGTGGTTTTGGTTTAATGCATTTTTTACAAATGCTTACAGCCTCTGGAATAAGACTACCTTCTGGTGGGTAGCCAGCTGGAACGTTTACACCCATATAATAATGAAAACATACATTTACTAATAACCAATTTCCAACTACGAGGAGGATTATTGTCATCGACGGACTTTTCTCCCACCAATACGGTAGACCGATGTAATAAGCAATGTACACGATACACGCGGTTAGGAGGCTGACCATTACAACGAATACCTGTCAACTGCCAAGCTTAGTAAATATATTGTGAACGATATTAAATTTTTGTATAAAGTAAGTTATATAATTTTGTAAATTTCTATGGATAAATTGTGAACTAAATGTAGCAGAAAAGATTAGAGAAGTAGTTACCGGTCCTAAACAGGCAGTGAAATTTTCTACAAACCAAAACATTGGTTCTAAAAGAATGTCGCAGACGTAACTCCAGTTCAAAAAGTCATTGTAAAATAAAGATTTTATAATGATTTGAAGATGCCACCATTTTTGCTTAAAATTAAGTCTGAAAACACAAAATATATACCGTCTGAAATAGTTGGTTAGTAGACAAATGAAAATCTTTCTTTGTTACTTTTAGTAACTTACTTAAAAATATTGGGAGCCCTTGTTAACGACCATCTTATTCTCACCATTTTTATTTATGTACAACTTTCACTGTATTATTATTATAATTTGAAATTTCACTGTCATTTTAGAAATTAGCTTTTGTATTTAGAAACATTATTAACGTAATTACCGATTGATTAATCGTTATGCAAAATATTACACGGTATCGTGCTCTTAATAATTTTTCGCGTTGCCACGAACGTTTACTTAACAGATAAATACCCCGAAATAATCTTGCACACTTATCGACCCAGAGTTTGATAACCATTCATAACGATTATTTTAATGGAGCTTTAAATAGAGGAACCGAACTATAGAAAAGAAACTACATACTGCCATTACTGGCCAACAGCCTGGTATACTGTCGGTGAAACTGCATACCCTATATCGCCTATACGCCTATATCACCTTGTACATCGTTCGTAGTGTTATCGTATAGGTATACCATACCTTCGGATACCTTTTCGGTGCGCCACTCGGCTGACTCGACTACTGTGACTCGGTACTGTCGTCGATTCGTAGATAAAAATTGATCTATTTCAGAACACGCTTGGAGAATAACAAGTTATCAGAGGTAAATTTAAATATTCTTCAGATAAATATGTTGAAATTTGGAGTAAACGGGAATGGGAATTTTGCTTGGATAGGCATCTTTGAACTTGTTAATAAACGATGTTGCATTCAACGAAATATCGTATAATATATTACGTATAATAGATTCACGAGCAGTATTATTAACAGGTAAAGAAAGTTTCTTTTTTGTTTGTCCCTGGTTCGAAAGAAATATAAATCTTGTTGAGTGGTAGATCGACGGTATCGGTATGTTCGAAAAACCATAGTTGACAGGTTCCTCTGTAAAGTTGCGCCAATTTGTTTCTTTTACGTACGAATATGTATTTGGTGTGCGAGGATGGTTGCAGATTGCGTACCTATCTAGAGATGTAAAGAAATAAAAATCCAATAAATCCATACTATACGCAATACGTACACATACGACACATAGTAAATAAATCGATTCCTCGTGTGATGGAAGTTATATCAAAGAAACATTATTTATTCACACCAAATATGTTTGATCGGAGTTGTACATTAGCAGAGCGATCAAATGAAAAATCGTCGAATGATGGTTTTACGTTTGCAACTAGATCGGAACATTCCGATGTCACATATCACATTTGAATTATACGGCATTGGGGACGTAGCATGCTCGCATAAAGACTAGTGGCTGTATTGGTATACTAAAGTTGTAAAGTTTCGGTTAGGTATGTCTTCCGTAAAACTAAACAACTTTTACTCGAAACATTTGCCTCTATGTTTAAAACTAAATTTAACGAGTTATTCGGATGTGATATGTTTCAAATGTTTCACTTTGTATGTAATCGAGAATTTACAGTAAATTTGAGAAATTTAATAAATTCGATGATATCGTACACGTAAAATAACGCTTTATAATATCTCGATTGCACGCTAATATTTTCTACATAAGTGTGATTATTTTATAACAAGATTGTAGATGTCAGACAATGCGATTAATAACGATTGAATCGATAACAGTAAAGTTTCCGCGATAGTATAATATGTATGTAACAATAAATATTGTAGTATAGTAAGGTACGAGAATCACACGAGGCGTTGATCACAAAGGACCACGTTTCTCTTAGTTGGTCGAGGATACTACGATACTATTAGATTATCGAGTTACTAAATATAGTCTTTCCATCGTAATCGAGTAGTCGAAGACATGATTAATTCTATAAGTAGTCGATTTTGCAGGCATATGCGAAGACACCTTGAAATGTTGTGCAACTCATTCGAATCGAATCGAATCGAATCGAATCGAATCGAATCGAATCGAATCGAATCGAATCGAATCGAATCGAATCAATTGTATTGTTTTCCTGTGATATTTTTGGACATGCGTGTACGGTATAATTTTGAAGTATCGAACAAGTATCGATTTCAAGTATCTATACACATACGTAAAAGATGAGTTTGAAACGATCGTCGAATAACATTCGCACATGCCTGGCGTCGAAAGATCGAAACAGAAGGATAAGATTGATTTATTTATTTTTCTTTCTATCAAGTTGCTTTAATATTCTAGTATTCTGTATTATTTGTGAGTAACAGATGCAATATGGAATTTGTTTCAGCAAACGTTTCGACACGGACGATGAACAGCAGTGGATCCTTAACTACAAAGAAGGTACGAGACTCGAGTTTTGTATATTTTTTAAGAACTGGAGTTGAAAGGAATTCGGAAGAAACCTATAACAGAAGCGAATTCGCTGAAGATGATTCGGTTGGCTCAAGTAACCGTAACTAGAATTGGAGAAATGCGTTGAAACGCGTTCGAATACAGAGTCAGGTGATCTCCATTTGGCGATTTCTCGGATGGCAAAACCGAATGAAATGTCTGATCCGTACTGCGATCTCGCATTCTAGACCGTTTTCGACTTTCCGTGATAATCGAGTACAGGTAATGGAAGGTAAGAATTTACCTCCTCGTTATCGAACGCATTTATAAAAATTTCCTCGTTTATGATATTTACAAAGTATCGTCGCAAAGAGTATCGCGCAAGTATGTACTTACTCGAGGCGACGAGAACAAACAATCTGCGCGATAAATTAATAATAATAGATATTATGTAATACTGTTAATTTGTTATCGCGCTCTCGATGGCACGCTCGAAAGACTGGGTAGGTATGGTAGATAAGTAGATACATATTTACAAACAAGGTTCGACGAGCTTGGATCGATTCGTTCGTGTTGCGTCGTGTATCGTATACATATGTAAGTATGTATAAGAAACGAGCGATTACTTAAATATTTCGATACTATCGAGGTTGACGAAATCTTTTTGGAAAATATACGCGGAGCTTATTCGAATATCTAATAGTTGGATTGGAAATGTTAGCACGCGAATTAAAAGTATAAAATAATCGTAAAGATCTCATAAGACAGTGTCGAGCGTGTCGAGACTTCGTAACAGTTGCTCGTCCTTGGAACACCATTGGACCAATTCCTCGATTGTCACCACGCCGTCTTTGTTCGCGTCTATTAACTAGGAGAAAAAAATGCTGTATTTCCGTGATATGATGAAACGAACAGACGAAAATAACGGTGACACCGGACAGCAACGGTTTCATCGAATCAAACGGTGACTGATTGTCACTGATCGATACTCATTGTCAGCCCGTTCGCGGACAGAGTACTACTGCTATTCGATACTCACGTGAAAAATACGATCGACGTGTTCCCGAGCAGCCAAGTGCGGCTCAACTATTTGTGGCTGAGTGTAACGGCCCAACATCTCGTAAATGGAACCGACCACATCTAACATCTCCTCTTTGCTGATCAGGCCATCCCCGTCTAAATCGTACAGCCCAAACACCCACTGGAGTTTCTCCTCCACCGAGCCTCTGGATACTTTCGACAAGATGGTTAGAAATTCCTGGAGGAAAAGAAAAAGAAAAAGAAAAAGAAAAAGATAAAGATAAAGAAAAGAAACGATGCATTAATCGTTTCGAAACGAACATGATTTTCAAAGATGAGTCTTCACCTCGAAACTTATTTTTCCCGATGGTTTTCTCTTCATAGTGTTGAAGACGTAGTGAGCGTACTGGCTGGCGTCTGAAAACGATGTCGTCGCTACATTAGATTAAACTCGGTCGGAAAGGTGAAAAAGTTTGAATAATTGAATGAAGCAAGTCGGTAGGAAAGTTGGCCTACCGGAATATACACCTATGTATGTGCATACGAAGAGTTTTCTCAGTTCTCACCTCCTTGCGGGAAGAACTGGGAGAAAATTTGCTTGAAAGCCTCCTCGTCAACGAGACCGGTGGGGCATTCCTGTTTGAATCCGCGATAAATCAGCTGTATCTCCTTCCTGGAGAATCTGGTATTAGCCGCTAGGGTAGCGAGCTCCTCCGGCTTGTGTCGACCGCCGAGGGCAAGTGCACCGCCAGTAGAACCCCCTAAAACGCCCCCGAGTTCTTCAAGCTCGCCCTCTGTAAGTTTGCCAACAGGCCTTTTGCAGCTAAGACTGTACGCGTTCGAGACTACTCCCCTCTCACCTTTTCAACTGTGCTTCTTCCTCTACTTCAGGCTAAGGGAGAGACGCCGCGCCGACCGTTCCTCTTCTCTCACTAGCAGGCAGGAGAGAAGATGGCGGCGCGGTTTCTACTTACGAAAATGAGACAGGGTGCAACAAGATCTCGAGAAGTTTTAGCACTACTTTACCGAAAGCCGGGAACGGTTAGCAGAAGATAGGTCGCCCAGGCGCGGCGGGTACCCGAGAAAACAGCACTGCCGATGCTCCTCCAGGCTCCAGGCAACCTGGTTATGGTTATGGTTACGCTACCCCTGGCCAAAAACAGGCTTCTACGTGGCTGTACTTGGGAATTATGGGAGAACGGCCAGAGCCGCGGCGATTCGGTTGCGGGCTGGGCTGGACTGGCCGACCGAGGACCGCGACCGGCCAACCAGCAGAATAAAGATAAAAATAAAGATAAAAGAGGAGACTTGCTGCAAGCAGACCACTAACTCGTCAAACAGTCTGATCGGGTTCGATCTTGAATCTGAACGATCGATCCGTTACGAACGTAACGGATAGTGAGCGGAGACTATGTTTTACTTTCGAAGAGACCGAAGCAGAAATAACGCGCGCACGATTACCATATTTCTGCGAGCAAGCACCGAAATTAATGCCGGATTAGTGTTTACGATTGATTTCTTCGATGATGGAAAGATGCATGGAATAAAAAGAGATGCTACCAACGCAGCGTTGAGCGATCGCTTTCGTTGACGAGGACAGAGTATCGAGGTATAAAATCTTGTGTAAATTTCGACGCAATTGTTTAGATTCTTTTCATATTTAACAGACGCGACGTGGCGTGACGTGACGCGACGTGACGTTAAAATCGATACTCGTTAACCCGATACGCTATAAATATAATTACCTGCTTGAAAATAAGATTCGAAAGGTAACGAAACCGTGACCCAACGCTACGATCTGTAAATGGGGTCTCGAGCTGTAAAAACTAATTGCAATTTCTATAACAAATGCACCTACTCGAACAAGGACCTAACGAATCTCACAGTTTAGGAAAACACGCTATCAGAATTTCTACAAGGTGTCTCGTAATTCGTGGTGTGCCTACGAAAAGGAGAGACGAGTCCAAGTCCAAAAGTGAGTCGAAACCGAAACGAGGGCTAAGATCGTTCTATAGGAAGCCTCGGCACCAAGAAAAATCACTTGAAATTCTGTCGGATGCAATCAGCCTTGTACGAAATACATTTTCAACTCGCGATTACTTTTGGACGAGGAATCACGAGGTACGTGGTGTATATGGTGTATAGTGTTACGAGCGACTTGTGTACGTGTACGCACGACAATATTATATCTATCTATGGCACTTTTATACGACGGTCACAATATTGGCGCGCGTTTCTCTACCATCGGACAGTTGCGAATGCCTCAAATGTATCCGATACACAAGATACGAGTCATTTTTCCAATCAAAGACAAGCCGATAAATAATTATTCAGAGGTAAATTCGCGCGTGTCTGTCTCTCATGCACGTGTATTTCTGTTTACGCATGCTTTCGTACACAGTAGTTAAAAACGACCAGGCGAACCGTTTTTCCGATTTTCTTATCGAAAATACTCGCGGTATTCGCGAACATTCGCGAGTCATTGTTCACGTAACAAGATCATCGAACAAAGCCCGGGTAAGCATCGCGGTTGACGCGATTTTTCAAAAAGAAAAAAAAACGTATCTTCTCTCGCGGTTTCTGCGATGTTTGACGTAGGTAACCGACTATGAGAATCACTGGCTCGTTGTTCGAGACTAAGGTAGAAGCTTCCCATTGATCGCTGCTAAAATTACAATCGAGGAACTTGAACCAAAATAAAAAAAGAATCCGTAACCGAGATCGGTAGGATTTGCCGCGAAACAAAACAAGTTCCAAGCTCTGAAAAACATGGTGTAAATAGCGTAGAGCAAAGGAATAACAGATTCTTTGGATGAAAATTCGGCCGTACGCTTTCAAGTATCTTGTACGCACACACATCAAACGCGTTTACATACATGTATAGTATACGTATACATAGGGTACATACAGATATACTCTCTCTGCACTGTAATTTCACTAGCAGCAGCTCTGGTCCCGGGCATCCGGGGTCACCATAGCAACGGGAGAGCTCCTACCCTGTATTCAGCCCACTTGGCATTTTCGCTTTCCGTAATATTTACCTCAATTAAAAGTCCGTTAATGCGCAAGATACGTACACGCAAGTAAAAAAGAGCTTACGATATACGAGTCTCATCGTAGAGAGACATCGGCGTCGTCGCTGTCGGTCGGTTCCCTACCAAACCACGACTAACAATAACGAAATGGAGGCTAATCGTTAAGAGGAAGGAGGCGTAGTCGTCGATCTCGATCAGATGGAAAGAAAAGAAAAGAAAAGAAAAGAAAAGAAAAGAAAAGAAAAGAAAAGAAAAGAAAAGAAAAGAAAAGAAAAGAAGAGAAAAGAAGAGAAGAGAAGAGAAGAGAAGAGAAGAGAAGAGAAGAGAAGAGAAGAAAAGTGAAGAGAAAAGAAAATGAAAGAAAAAAAGGAAAATGTAAATGTGTCGGATGTATGTATTTGGTTTTTCTCTCTCAAAATCAGTTGAGCGAGTTTCGCACCTTGCCGTTGCATTTTTCGCAGCCGTTAGCAGTGACACATGCGACGCGGTGCGCTACGTCGCGACGAACGCGCGATAAAGAGGGAGATCGTTCCGAGGCCTGGGGGTTGTGTCGCTCCCTTCGTCTCAAGTAGGATCTCTTTCCACGGCGTATCGAGTATCGATTGGCTTGACGATTTCTCAATTTCCCGATTTACCTCATTACCCAGAGAGGAAACTCGAGCGTCACTACAGTCCATCTGTACTAATCATGGACTTACGTTTCTCCCGGCTCTTACGTGCCTTCATTTGGCAGTTCGGTGATTCAAGATTTGCAAGATTCAGAAGGATCAGTCGCAACGATCCACCAACGATCGACACGGCTCGATTCGATATCGATCTGTTAATCGCTTCGATACGATCGATCGAACGATCTGTTGCGTTCCCTTCATACGATGTACAACTCGAGCCACTTCACGTTCCTCTTGGCCCTTCACCTTCTCTAGACTTTACCGCCCCCAGAGATTTCACCTGTCGCTCGAACCGATCAACGCGTAAAACCTAATTCACAGATCGATGTTTCGTGATCGACTAACGTAACGTAACGTAACGTAACGTAACGTAACGTAACTTGGTCCACTGACTTGGTAACGACTAACGACGAGCGCGACCCTCGCATGCTGATGCATCGAAAGACCCGGCCACGCAAAAGCACCAGCTTTCTCTGCTCACGCGCAAGTCCAGCTCGACACTTTTTCCAAGCACGGTCACTCTCGCAAACAAACCGGGAGATGGCTTATTATTCGAATAAACGATTTTTTTCTCTTCTCTTCTGTTCTGTTCTATTCCTTCTTAATTATCAGTTTCGGATCATTAAAAACGATCGATGACACAAGGAGACGACTGCTCTCGGATAGAAAACTTGCACTCGCGTCAGCATCAAAATAATCTTTGTTCACGATTCAATTACGCAAGACAGTCGAAACTATCGACGAGAATATCTTTCGTATGCGATTAAACATGTACGTATTTTTAGCTTATAGTCGTGTTCGTGTTTGACGCGATCAAGGGTCAGGAAACGAAAAACCCTTTTGTCCGGCTATAAACGATTTTTCTACTGAACGCGCGCATCGTAGCCGTCAAGTATACTACTTTGCCCGCTACTTCGTTACGATTAAGATAAATATCGACATCTATTGATTATCGATAAATGCCTAACGAGAATCCTACGGTGAGATATAACCGGTAAACGACAAACAGTGACAAATTTTAGAGTACCAGCAAATTAAACGATTACCTAAATTTACAGCTGTAGAAAAATTCATTTTCCGTTGGGAGACGAAAAGTGATAGAATTAATTTTAAAACCGATAATAATAATCCGATCTCTTACCCTAAAAGGATACGCCTTATCCTCGTACTAAATCTTATCGATCGATAATAGCAGATTTTCGTACATTTATTTCTAGATGGCAGGATAATAGTGTTTTATGACCAGTAATTGATTTATTTTACCGCTGTAGCAATTGAATATCTCCAAGGATAAATAAAGAAATTCACGTCATTGATGCAACGGCAACGCTTTTAATTTTTCCCGTTGTTTTCTTTACGATAAAATACGATTACCGTACAATTTGTGACATAACAATTTCATCAGAATATTAACACGTATGCAATAAATTAAATCAAATGCACCACGTAATAATAGAATAAGGAATAATTTTATTTCGGAAAGATAAATGTCGCGAGAAAAACGAGGCAATTTTTTTGTTAAAATCGTTTCTAGTTTATATTTAACCGAATTTTTGTTCAAACTAAAGGAAATCGCCGCGTAATTCGGTTAGCAGACGAATTTTTCTATCGGCCATATCAGAAATGTGTAAGAATTAAGAAAAGGATTGCGACTTGCGACCGAGTGTCTCAATGTGTTTGAAAATGAACGGCAACGATATTTCAAGATTATCGTACAAAGAATTGCAGGCATTAGCTCTCAGATATCGTGTACCAGGTAACATAAAGGTAATCGACTCGTTATTCGCGACATTTAGGTGACAAAAATTCGTAAGCTCGCGCTGGCATTCTAATTTTTATCCCAATACAAATATACTTGATATTGATTTTTCACCAATCGATCATCGTTTCTTCACCGTAGAAGAAGCTACTGGTTAAAGTGTTGCAAGCCGCGGAAGGTGGAAATGAAAACGAGGTTGGCAGGTTACTACAGGATCTTAAGCAGAATCGTAAAAGGAAAGTGAGAAAAATCAAAAGTGAAAGATTTCTTGGGTTAACCTCCACACCGTTACATAGTCCTGATTACGTTATGGCCGATGATTATTATTGTCCCCAACAGCAACCACCATATCAGTGGGTAAGTTGCGATTTAATATACATATTGCGAAAATTTGAAATTTTTTACCGCTCGTTTATTGCGATCGAATAATCATTTATACAAGCTATTTCGTTCATATCATTTCAAATCATATCTATACGAATAGATATAGAATTCTCATTATTTCACATTTTCTGTCACTAACGTTATGACTGTTTTAGAAAAAAAAAACAGCCAAAAAGAAAAAAAACATTTTATATATACATATACACATACATATATATTATATATTATATATTTATATAAATATAAAAGAATTTTAAAAGAAATTTATTTATATATATATATATACATTTATTAATGAAATATGGATCCTTAGGTTGGCGCAGAGGAAGAAATTGTAAGTAGGGATGACGAGAGTAGGATTCCTCACTACGAAGAGTTTAAAGAATTTTTATTGAAGAAAATACAAAAGGAATTTCAAACTTACGATGCAAATAATAATCAAATACAAAATTCAGCCATCGTGGACTTGAGGACTGCAACTATTTCACAGAATGCGCAAAGAATTCCTTTAGATAATAACAATTATACTACATCTAATGTAATCACCACTAATAATAATGATTCGTGTTCGTATCAACCCAATGATCATGTGGAATATCAAACATTGGAAGATACAAATAACAATATACAGGGCTCTATACTTTTGAAGAAAATGTTACAAGCACCGGTTGGAGCTAATTTGGGAGAAATAGCTAGTCCTGTAATAGATGGTTATCGCCTTTGGGGAATGGATCGCTTTCAGTCTAATCATTTATTAGATAACTCTGATACTTTAACTGCCGAATCGGATAATCAAGATAACGAAGAAAATTTGGAAAATACTATGCAATGTTATGGACTTTTAAGTGGTATGAAAGGAGAATATTTGTTAAACGAACCAACTTTTGAAAAACATGTCGATGAAATTGGCCAACAAGTCTCTAACGTTTTAACAAATGAAAATGTTAATCAATATAAATATTCTACAAATATTGAAATGCACCAAGATTACGAGAATTGGACCATTGCCAATGTTATGGACGATGCATTGGATGCCAACTGTGCAACGTCGGAGGCCCAGACCTCAAAAATATATCAAACCGTATATTACGATAATACAGGATCTTCTTCTTTAGATAAACCTATAAACAATGAGAATTTAACATACCAATATCGTACGAATGAAAATATACATGGTTATAACTCTAATAAAAATTCATCGAATTTGAATTCGATGGAACAAAATCAGTACTACGAGACAAACGTTATTCCCAGTGTGCAATCTAATTGTAACAGTACGTATTATTTACAAAACTCAATTAAATGTACTACAGAAACTAACGAAGGATATATTCAAAGTACACATTCTTATTCGAATGCAAACATAAATCAGGATACGTCTACCGTCTCTCAAACATTTTCTAATAACTATCGCTATAACTCTAATCCTTTGTACGAATACTCGTATTTCAACAACAATAATCATGAAAATCCCATTCCATCGTCTGGAAACTTTCAACAACAGGCTGATAATTGTTGTTCTACGAAACAACCTGAATCGAGTACAAAAGAAAACATATCTTGTACAACGGATAAGATGCAAACGAACGGTACGTACGTTGATATTTTCTGACTCTTCTTAAATTACTTAACCCGACATACGAAAGAACATTCAATTTTCGTAAAAAAATATGTAATATTTTCTGTTTAATGTAATATTTTTAGGATTATTGGACCCATTTAGATCAAGAAATTTCACGAAAATTACCGCGGATCCCATTTTGGAGAGTATCTTAAATCTCATTAACACTAAACGCATAGATTTATCAAAATTGGATCAAACATCTTGCGTATATTGTTATATAGCGCCTATCGTCACGCATACATTGGTATCATCTCATGTAACTTGTTCTCAGAAAGCAAGATTTGTCGCCGAATACAGGCAGCATTCTTTTTCTCCACATTGGTTACTGTATAACGATTCCTCATGTGGATTGCGAATGGCTAATTTGCAAATAGAATTCGAAGAAAGAATGACAAAGGAAACGCGAATTCTAGATACATCAACACCCAAAAGTGAATCTGATTTAAAGGAATCAATCGCAGAGAGCGAAGATTCTATTACCGAAGTTTGGGCTAAAAATTATACGAATTATAAATCTGCCGCGGAAAAAGATTCAAATATATGCGAAGATTTAAATGTCGATGTCACAGATTGTTTATTTTCAGTAATAAACACTGAACCATTAGTCAGTCGAGTAGATGACGTTTCTCTAAAGGAAGCTCAATGAGAGAACAGATATCTACCTGATATCAGATATCAGATATCAGATATCGGATATCAGCTGATCGCTGATCGGTAATCGACGGTTGCCAATGGTGGTTCATTAAATTATACAATATGTAGCATTTATATAATTCAGATTGAAAAAGTACAAACCTTTGATATTATGTAATTTAGAAAGAAAAGTAATTACACGTTATTTATATCTATTTAAGAATCTAAAATCTAACATAATCAAAGAAAGATCAGTTGAAGGAGATCAAGTCATTACGTTGTAACTATCATGTTAAATTATTTTTCAAGTATTAATAAAAGATTATTATTATTGTTATTATTATTATGTAAGAAATGTGTCGTAATAGCGTACACGAGGAACAAATGGAATTTTCATTTCCTCGATTTCGACAAACGAGAGTACGTATATACGGCAAAACATGAAAATATAATGGCAATATCCTAGGTTATGATCCTAAGTTGGTGTTTATCGGATATAAGAAACCATAATTTTTTTACAAGAAGAGGATAACGAAACAAATATGGAAAGTATCGTCGAGAACGATGAAAAGGAATTACGTCCTAGATTTTTGCTTTTTTTTTTATTTTTTTTTTCATCCTCAACCAATATTTGTAACATTATATATTTTCCTAAGAAATAAATGGCAAGCATTATAAAAATCTACGTGTAAGAAACTATAATATATACGTAACGTCTTTCACTCAATGCACGAAAATGCACATCGAAAGTAAAAAGACGATGTATTAGCAAATTTTAGTACTTTTCGAATACTTGCTCAAGGATAGTTTTTAACGGTTAATTGTTATCGTGAATTATTCGTTGCGAAAAATCTACTCACTTGGAATTCCCTCTGCTTGCATTTGGGTCTTGAGGTAATTGAAGACTTTAACGGGTATCGATTCTTTTCTTCGATTTCTGTACACTCCCATTTCGTTATTCATATTTTTTGAAGTAATCTGTTTTTCAGATGATCTACCCGGTGTTACATTAACGCTATACATTTTTTCTTTTTAATTTCGCGACGTTTCCCCTTCAAAATTTACTCTCTTCTTTATTTTCCACTTTGCCTGCCCCCCAAACCACCTATTCGTCGTCTTTTAGTTCCCGTGGATTGCGTACTTAATGTCACATCGAAAATTACAAACAAAAATGAAAGGAAACTGTTCATGGGACTGACTGAGATAAAAAGCGTACTCGCTGGAACAAGATCTCCGACACTACTGTGTTTAAAAAAAAATGCAGTATCGGTATGTAGGTGAGAATGCAGTGACAGTGACGCATTCGCTCTTTATCTAATGAGGTCCTCGAAACGCGAGACTAATTATTTTACTGTTTCGTTTAGCTTCTGCATGACAGAAACAATAAATTCATTTTTTTTAAATAATACATTACGACACGATAATACAAATATTTCTAAATTAATAAAACTGAAACTTTTATTATTATTTTATATATATATATATAAATGAAAATACGTCAGAGAAGTCGAGACTCGAGGGACCAAAACCCCCAAAGAATAAAACATCTAATTGTCTTGTAAAAAAGGGTTCGTCTCGAGAGTTCGTATCGAAGATATCCAGAGATCCAGATCCAATCATTTCGATTCGAAAATCGAAAATCATTTGCTGTGTAATATATTTTTCTAACTCAACATACATCAATAATTACTTCAAAACAACTACGACTTATAAAGAAAGCGAAAAGTTACAGATCGATAGTCTAATTTCTTTTTTCATTTCATGTCAATTAACATCGATTACACTACATTTCAGTTTCATTACAATCTCTGACTTTAAATGCAAATAAAATTTAAGTGGAGAATTTACTATGGAATAAATAAGTTGGTCGTGTTTGATTCTCGTTTTCAATTTAACCATATTTTACTATCGATATTGCTAAAATATATAGTTTGCTACGTTCACGGTGATACTCGTTCGAAGACGCATGCGTACATGCGTACAAGTGGATATACAATACAGTAAGCGTAATCAGCGTAATAGTGTTTAACATACCATAAAATTATTATTCGAAAAAGTACACTAACGATCTAACGTGAGTAACGAGTATTTAGAAAGTGGGATTATTGATTAGGAATAGAAGAAATAGCTGGTAAAAGAGGCAGTCGAGGAAAGCCAGATCTTTAATGGTCGCGTGATTGCGTGAACCATCGTGAAGACACAAAGAATCGCGGTTACGAAATCAGTAAGGATTATATTCGCGAGACTGAATTACGAATTGTGTCGACGACAGTTGAAAAACATACATAATGCCTGCCGGAGTGTCATACTTGCGATTCGTATCTTTTTGTTCAATGGCGATGCTTTCTATGATGGCTGGTGCACAATGTGTACACGTTGTATACAAACCACTCGACGATCTAGACGATCTTATAGAACAGGCAGTGAAAGAAAGATTAGCAGAAACGTAATTGCACCGGATACAGTAATGAAGTAAGAATAATTTTGAATAATTTTAACAATGATTCACGACACATTGCTTACAGAAATTGAAATGTATATAAAGGTAACGCAATAAATGTTGGCTTTTTTTAACGTGTGTAACAATGCGTAACAATATTACAAATTTTACGATATACGTATAGAAACTCGATCATCTAGATGGTGAAATTATTACGGGGTGAGGAAAAGTAAAAAAAAACACATGAAATAACGATACGCTTTGTAAAATTAATGCAAAGGTTTGTCAATAGTAACCGATTTAATAAAGCACAATTTATTTCATCATAGTTTACATGTATCACGCTTCTCTTTAATGCTTGAAATATACATATGTACAAGATGAATATCACGGTCTATAAACGACATATATTATTAAGTAACAATCATTTATACGTCACGGTACACCTGGAGGACTTTGTTAAATAGTTTGCACGCATCGATGTATCTCGGTAACAGATTCGCAAAGCCTAACTTGGTGATTGAAATTCGTTAGGATAGCCACTACACGCGCAATCTTTTTTATAGAATTACAAAAAGCGAATAATCAAGCATTATTTTCGAATAACTATTCCTGTAGAAAAATACGTAAATTTTTATCTTCGTTTCGATTAGACTGCAACGACAGGAAAGATAATAAAAAATATTCCCGCGTCGAGACGATGACCAATGATTTTCATTAATCACTCAATTGTCATAACGACGTTTCACTGGCTCCAGAACTTTGCGACTGAAGCGGTAGACTGGTTTTGTATCCTGCCGATTCCTCCTCCAGTAATGCTATGCGTTGCTTCAGCATTTTCGCCTATAAATTCATGTGCGTATAAAAAGGTTCTCGAAAAAATATTTAAACGACCGCAAATAATTCGTTAATTTCTATGAAATACATTGAATGGAACGCGATTGCGCAGAAATACATGGAACATGGAAATGGGGAAAGTGGATGTGGATTGGTTCGCTTGGCTCTGCGCCGATGATTAAAAACAAGATGGCGAGTGCCGGATGATATAGGTTATTTCGTTTGTAATAAGAATGTCAACTAAATTGCATTACAAGCTGAGAAGGAAATTGAAAATATGGTATAATAATTTGCCCGGGAAGGCTCTCGGTGAATTTCGTATTTTACCAGTGTTCTTTGCTGCCGGTGCCGTCCTGGAGTTTACTATGATACACTGGCACGTTGGAGAGGTTAACTTTTACAAGACGTACAAGAGAAGGCGATTAGAGGAGGCGGTCGAAGAAAGATTACGTGAAATGCGAACACAGTCCGTTTAACGTACGTACAAGAAGCACACAATCGACATCGGAGGTTGTGAGTAGTTGCAAATTAAGCATTTTTTTTCGCTTAATATAGCTGAGAAGACGTTTTCTTCCACAGGTTTCACGTGGTCTTGGATTATTTGAGAAAAAAGATCGGGAGCCACGGAAATATTGTAATTTATGTAGATTAAGACGAATGTGAAACGTATAGTAAACGTTAGCGAATTTTGATTATATTTGTCCTTAGTCATACCTGCGCGGCATGTCTTTCTACCATTCCTAACATTTGTTGTTCCAACTTCTTCAGCCTGGATTGATATTTTTTCTTGGATTTCTCTAAAGTCTGTACCAGAGCTCTAAAAATAGAAATACGGTTAGGAGACGATTTGTCGTAAATTTGAAATTCTTTTTTGGCACACAATCAAATTACCCATTGGCTCTTTTCAGGTCATTGACAAGTTCAGCCGACTGTTGATGTCTTAGCTCGGAGTTCTTGTTAACTTTATCCAACGTCGAAACTAGTTCCTGTAATCGTTCCTTTAGCCTAGCTTCTCGACCTAGCGCCTCTATCAATTCGGATTCTATGCCTTCGCTTTCGTTGTCGCTCAAACCTCGATCCTGTGCGTATACAATTTACCAGTTCGAAGAAGATAATTTTGAATTTTAAATGGAAATCGTGATCTTACTTTATTCGATGCCATTGCTAGCATGGCCTCCGTATCGTTTAGTTGGCCTTGGAGATGTTCAATGGCAGCATGTTGGGCTGCAATTTGCGTGTCGCGTGCGTTTAATTTTAATTCTATGGTAGCCCGTTCCTTCTCCAAGAGGAAAACGCGTGCTCGTAACTCTGCTTTGTCTTCTCGCATAGCCATCAATTCCTGCTCGATTATTACGAGAGGAGTATATTTGACTGATTTGGCCGAAAAGTGACTGGAAACGACTCGCATGATAGACGGAATTAGGTACCGACCTGCATTAACACGGCGGTTTCCAAGTCTAATTTTCGAGCTTCTGCTAGAGAAATGGTGTTCTTAGAGTTCAAGGGTTCCGAGTGAATACTTTCCAATTCCACTGCGGTCGATCTGACCATAGCACGTTCTCCTTTTAGTCTACTGATGTGCCTTCTGAGCCTTTGTTCATCTTCGACGCTCCACGTTACTTCAGATCTAAAGATAAAGAGTAATCCAGATGGATGGATGGATGGATGGATGGATGGAATCGCGCGAACAAATTGTCCTTACTCATCCGACAAGACTATGCTATCCTCCCACGGTGCATTTAGAGTGTTGGTACAGTCGTTTTCCAATTTATTCAAAACATGATAGGCTACGTGCTCGGCTGCCCTTCGGTTATCGATCGTAGTACTGGTTCTTTCCGTTGACAAACCGATCTCGCTTTCCAACAAGGCTACGAGAACGTCGTAAGCTTCTATCGCGCGATCGCTGTAGGAAAGAGCTAGGCGTAACGCGGTAGCATTTGACTCGTACTTTCCTACCAGTAGGCTCAATCTGAGGGAGAAAAAAGATGTGCAGAAAACTGGGAGGCGTGTAGTTGATCGGTTGAGGCGTATGTAAGTTTGACGATACCTATCGCATTGCGCTTTGCTCTCGTGCAAAGTGAGCGCAAGGACAGCGTTGTTTGCTCGCGCGTGCTCTAGTCTGCTGTTCAGTCTCTCCGTTTCAACTTCGAACTGTCTCTCGGACCCGTTCAGTTCTTGAAGGTTCGAGTGCTCGAGCAAATCGGACACCAAGTGCTCTGCTACCATCGTGGAGCATACCTAACCGTGTTGTCGGTAATCGGAACCATTTTGACGAAAACCATTTTGATATTCTAGGCACGCGTGGATATGGAAACGATTAGGTACATACCCCCAAGTTGGTAATATCGGGTCCTGTGATATGCCTCTCGTCCGTTCTTCTGAGTCTCACCCTCTCGGCCATTTTCAGAACCGGAGCTTCCTCCCTCGTTACGCTCTTTGTCGGCGGTGTCTGTAGAGGTGGTAAGAGCGGCGAACAAGGTGCACTCAAAGGTTCTGGCGAGCTGGTGTTGCCCCTTGTCTGCAGCAATGGAAAGAGTACGTAAGTACATGGCGATGTTACGTCGAAAGTGTGGTTAAAAATATTTTTTGCGAAACTTTATTCTGGCTCGAACGTTCAATATTAACTCGTCGAATATCCTTGATATGTCTTTGATACACCACTTTTTAAGTTGAATTATTTGAATGCCACGGAAGATGGTCGATTCGTTGGTCGGAAAAATCGGCTCGTGAAATCCAAAGGGTTAACAAGTTAAAGAATGAATCATCGGAAAATACTGTTCAAAAAGTTGGAGAAATAGAATAAATACGATCGGTACCCACTCTTGGTTCTCTGCGAGGCGATTCGCTGTCAAGCTGGTGCTGCTTCTGACTGCTAGCGTGATTTTTACAACTAGCGAGTTGCGTTTGTAGGCTCGCAATTTCTGCTCGAAGAGCTGTGATCTCTTCCTGTAACGTAGCCACCGCCACGCTTTGGCACGAGACTGCCTGATGCGTTGGCTCTGGGGTCGGCAACGCCGCCGGACTATCCAACTGTTCTCTCTCATTCTATCGATATAGTGCCATTTTTACAAAGAGAAATATTAATCGTTAACCGATTAACTAATTCAACTGTTTCTCAAAGTTTCGTACCTCGATAGCACGCGGCTCGATATCTTCGCAGCAGCTGGAATCGACGTCCGCTAAGGTACGATCTCCGTCACCATGGATATCGCCACCACCTTCGCTCTCTTCGACCGGATTCGTGATCGAGCCCTCCGCATCTCTGCTCGTCTCTATTTCTACGAATCGTAAGACATGGCAACAAGGAAGACACAATGATTCAATGTTGAACCGAGGCTGCGATTCGCTCGCGAGTTATTGTATTTCATCGATCGAGTCGAATGTGCATTGAAAATTACAATATACCGTAATTTAATTACGGTACCAATGTATGTTTTTGAAAAGGTAACAGCGATATATATCACGTGGGAGTCTATAGCCGAGCAACTTTTCGAGCCGCGTAATAAATGTAGAGAATCGGTGGTTCTCCATTACCGGACTCATCCTCCTCGGCGATTACGGTAGCTCGATGCCTTTCGAGCTGCCTGCCGAGCTCGGCGATCACAGAGTGCAACTCTGTAAGCCTTTCCTCGTGTCTCGCTGCTTGTTGGTCTGCTCTCTGTTCGGCTCTCGCTGCTTGGACCTCGGCTCGAACCAAAGCCGCTTCGACAGCTTCCCTTGCCCTAGTTGCCGTTATCAGTCTCGAGTTTAGCTCAGCTACCTCGGATCGCAGGGACGAGAGCGCGGCCGCGTGAAGCTGCAACCAAAACCATTACTCAATGGCTATATCTAAACAAATGCTCGCGATAGTCTAAACAAATTCACTTTCTTAATTCAAATTTCATCGGATACGGCATCGTTATCGAGAACGTTCGAAACGATGCGACGAGTCGAACCGTGTCAATTTCAACATTTGGTATAATGTCTATTCTGTGTTTACATTTGGCTCGAGTCTAGCGTCGAACGTAGAAAAGGACAGAGAGTGAAAGAGAAAGATGTCCGAGAGAATAGACGTGACTCATAGCGTAACGCTTTTTCGTCACACTTTTTACCAATATTAGGTGCCCTCCCCCGATCTATATAAAACACTTTCGTGTTAAAAAAAACAGTATGTAGCTTAATTTTCCGTAAATGGTGACGGCCTCGGGGATGGACCCCCTTCTTATCGTCGGCCGGTCTTGATTAATTTCCGACGTATTCGGGAAATTTCGAGCGCGAACGCGAGAAAGAGAAGAAAACATTCCGTCGGCGTGGCCGCGAACATTCCTGTTTACAACGACGGCATCACGAGTGCACGAGTGTCCTTCGCGGAGGCAACCGGCTGTAACGTACGGTTAGTAAACGCGACGACTACGACCAACTACGACGCTAATGATTTCTGGTCACGTAATAGATCCGCGTGTATAAGAATCACCGTTCGCAATTACGCGGTTTTATTCGAGATCCGGCTAGTGGTTTCGCGGTGTCGAAAAGGTCCCGTGGAAATCTTGTCAACGTTACATCACGATATAACAGGTAAATTAAATACGTAGAATAATTTCTCATTCCATATTCGCGAAAACAAGTACGATCTTTCGGTCTACACATACTCCCTCGATAATCGTCCGTTCGTGTACTTTATTCGACGTTGTTTTATCGAATATACACTGCGTATACTCCATACACAACAAATCGAACAATTTTTAGGTGGGATACGTTCGATACGTTCGTTTGAGAAGAATCTTAAAAGATGAAACGATTATTGAGCTTGATGGTTATCTTGGCGGTAGTTTTCGCGACGTCTATGGCAGAGTCGGATGACTACATTCATCTACCAGGGAAAAGCTGCGAGGACGCGCCCCCCTGTCCGGATAATAGACGTTGCACGATGGCTCCTCCACGCTGTAACGTTGGTACTTGTGGAACAAGTTTGGTACCGACGTGTGCCCCGAAGAGAACCTAAACGTTGTTTTCGTTCATCGATTTACGTGATTTTTAACGATCCATGCGCGAATAATAGCTGTAACATCGCTAATAAAGATTAGCTTTTTCCTAATTTCGGTTTTCTTTCGATAGCGTCGTACTCCTGATAGAGTAAACGAGGTTGTTTGCCAAAAATTAGAATCGATAAACATAGGTAACTACATACAATCGTATGTACTTGTATATACCTCGTTGCGTCGATAAAACGAGGCTTGCATTGTAAATTCTTCGCAATTACTCACGACACGACAGGTTACCAAAGACAGGTTGGACGGGATTGGAGTTGCTTTCCGTCTCGTTTCTTTTTTCTTTCGTGAGTGCGCCTCGAGGATCGAAAAGAACGAACAATCGGACCAAATTTCCTTTGCGAGACATCCACGGCCTTTGGATACTTTGCTTGCGTGCGTTGTAAAGCGATACCGGAAATTGTGGTTAAGCGAAGCAGCGGTGTAATGCTAACGACAAGGCTGATCGGGGAGAGGCCGTCGAGCATTTCTACATGGAAACGCAGAATTTACCTGAGGGGCTGTAGATGTGCGCTCGTATCGCACAGCTACACGAAGAAAAGTATCGCAGCAAACGTAAAGAAAAACGTAAAATGAGAATTTAACGAATGAAAAGAGAACGATAATAAGAGTGGGCCAACCCACGCGGCGGCAGTGCGGGGGTTAAATTCGATCGGGAACGCTTACTTCGTTAGACGCTCGTAACTTTTAACTGTTGTATTCGTCGTAAATTTACGACATTTGGAAGAGATATCTTTTTCGATGGTCTATACGAAAAATTGATACCCTCCGTGCAGCAGAAAATCTCGTGGCGCGATACTTTGGATGATTCGACGGAAAACATGAAATTAAATAGATTTATTCGGTTGGTCGAAAGTGTCGACAGAGGGAAAACGAAATTACCAGAGAACGAACTAAAGGTTATTCGGAAACTTGACTGCGATATCGATCGTCTGGTTGGCGTCGGCGTCGGCGTCGGCGTCGGCGTCGGCGTCGGTCGCTCGTCACCGGCGGTACTATCTCTACGGGATTAAAGTTTAAAGAGTAGTCGATTTCGTATGAGCTTACAGAGTAGACTCTAAATTGTCATCTAATGTATATTTAAAGTGCGTGCAATGATAGGTAGAAATTGTCGGAAAACACGTAGCGTCGAATAAACTCCCAGACTTACAGATTCACGATGTTTGTCTCTGTGATTAATTTCAACTTGTATAGGAACAGTTGTATCGGAGCCGCGATCACCCGGGCAGCAGAGCCACGATCGGGACCTAGTTAATCCTTTCGATTCTTCTTTCTCATCTTTCTCGGCATCCTCGTTCTCGGTTGTGGCACAGTGTACGTAAATCGGGTCGTTTCGACGCGCCGTCTCCAAAATCTCTTTGCCAATATTAGAGACTCTATTCGTTTGCACTGAGAATTTGTTCGCTCGTTGACAGTACCGATGTTGCTGTTGCTGATGCACTCTCTGGCGGTGTAACCGATCCGCGGAGCCATTGTTTGCGGCTACCGTGAAGCCCGCCACGTTGCCTCTCGTGCTTTTTCGTTAATTCTTTCTCTCCGTAGGATCTGTTTGACTCGTCATGATATCGTAGCGATCGATAGTTGAACCGAGCAGAATCGATTCGTTACGTCCCGAACGAGAATCGACGATACATCTTATTTACGTATAACGAATGTTTTGTTACTGCACCAACGAATAAGAAAAATAATAATAAGAATAGAAAAATGTATGAAAAGGTAAAAATTTATCAACGAGTTTTGCACTATCGAAACTTGTTCGAACTTGTTCGAATCGAATTTAAAGCGTGAAACGAGAAAATCGTAGCTGCTAATTAGAATTTGTACGGCAGCACGGCAAAAATTTTGTCGGTTTGGTACGTGCCAAGTTCGTTGAGTTTTCGTCTGGCGACAAGCAACAGTGATTTAGTCGATGTCAAAATCATGGAAAAGCTCCAACACCTAGGGCTAAACGCTTTAATGGCGTCAGATTTGCCCGTTAAAGTTTTTTTTTTCGCGTTCAACGTGTTTAACGAGCGCGGCATTCCGGGTGCTCGTTAACCTGTCATTAGTGGCCCGGTCAACGTTGGTCTTGGATGTTCTCCCTACGGTTACACGGCTATTTGTTAGCTTTTCAACGATGCGTTTCGACGCCTCTTGTGATTCTATTACAGGGCCTTCCTCAACGAATTAAAACGAAAATCGTGCGCGATACTCTCGAATCGAAGAACCGAGCGTGATTATAAATCTCTTTCGGTAGTAAACATATTTACCAACAACCCAAAAGTTGAACGACCGATTACCGTAATTGCATTCGTACGAGATCACAGTTGGCATAAACTTGTCGATCTAGAAAGGTGGTGGTTAGTTGCTCTAGCCAGAGTATACTATTATGTGTATCGATTCCCGACGAGATCAAGGTTCGGAGAGAACGTCGCGTCGGCGTCGTCGCAAACGGACGGATCAAGCACATACGCATATGCGGTTAAATAAATGAATTACTCGATCGGTAATTATGAACGCGAGAAAGGGCTAGAGGTTTCCGGAGCAGACTTAACGAGGTCCTTACCACCTGCTGCAATTAGTCTTTACGCGGGGTCGATACGATAAAAACCGTCATGGAAGAACTTTCCGAATGTTTCAGAACCGATTCCACCGTTTCGTTGTTATTTTTGTGATAATTATGCCAACGCGTGGAACAAAGATTTCGCGATAAAGTCGATAATTATTTCATTTCGCAGCTAGTAGCTCGTTGTTCGCATCGTTGATTCCCCGTCCTCTTTTAACGTTACAGCTCGTTTTCTACTTTTGCGTCGAAACATCGAAACGAGTCGCATAGACTCGAGCGCTTCCTGGTCGGTAGATATGAGACGGATTGTCTTACCATTAGCTTCAGATTATCGTACCGACAACGACTCGACAAAGATGGAACAACTCCGAGATGGAACAAATGCACGAGAAATAACGTTAGGTTGTGTACGTTGACGCGCAATTCACGTTGCTAGCATCGCTTTAATTGCTTTTACATTGATTCTCGTCGCGCGATTGATCGTCTTTCCAGCATTTTACGTAAATGTGGACCAACCTCTGTCAATCTTAAGCATCGCGCGTCGAATCGTCGTCGTCGTGTCGTCGTCGTGTCGTCGTCGTCGTCGTTTGATAATCGTTGAATTTTCATGCTACCAGAGATCGAATTCTAGAAATCTATTTCGATAGGGGATTCTCAACGAGTGCCTGTGCGTTACTATCGGTTGATACGTCGTTATCCGGAGCTGGGAAACGTTCGGTCGATGTATCGTTACTCGTTATTCGATGTGTTTGCGTGTCGCGATACTTTCCAATTCGTAACGTGTACGAAAATCAATCGAGTAAATTTATCGGTATTCGTACTTTGAGCGACCTTGAAATTTTACCTCGTTCCGTATCGGTAATATTAGTAGTAGCTTAGCGTAGTAGTAGCGAATCGATCTAGGTGTAGGAATGTTGTTTTATTTTTAAAATGTAAACAACCGAACAAGAACCGGAAAAGCATACAACAATCTTGTATGCGTTACCGAACCTACCGGCGACATATCTAAAGACGACGCGACATTCATAAAACAGTTTATAAAGAGGTTGAGATACGGTGTCAACGCATTATCGTTTGCCCTATCCGATTACCGATCGTTACTGGTAACACTTCGACCTCTAAGGAAAATTGGCCAGGAAGCAAAGTACAAACACTCGATCAGTGCCGTCCAAGTATAGCGACGTCGACGTTTTGTCCTTTGAAATCGGACAACACGACTATGGCTCGCGTGAAAAAATTGTACATGTAATAGATTATTAGTGGTGTGCGCACGAGATATCGGTTACTCGGAGCGATGACGCGTGAGTCGTGACACTCGTGTGACTCGTGTGACTCGTGACGGTGACCAATCACTAGTACATCAGACAAAACGCTCGCTCGGTGACGGACTGAGCCACCGATTCTCCCACACCCTTTACGCATTTCACGTAGCGGTGGCCGAAAGAGTCCGAGCGATGCCGAGAGTAGCCGATCTTGGGACGCATCGCATCGAAAACTCAGAGATATTCTCGTCTCTCTTACACCGATTGCCAAATACATATCCTTGTATACTTGCGTTACTCGTCGATGCTGGCCTATTTTATATCCATGTCTACGTCTATAACCTTGACTATCCAACTTGACAATAGGGACTAAATAATAGTCCAAGGTCTAAAGAGCTCTCGCGTGTTGTAAAATAAAATTCATCTCGTTCGGACGACTACACGTTAAAGCGTACGCTTACCTGATCGTTACTGGCTCTTACCATAGAAACGACTAAGCCGATCGATTCTCGTAAAATTATCGATAATTTGTTGACAAAAATGAATTGAACGTGTTCCGTTGAATACATGGAAGCGAACGGAAGATGCGTTAACAAAGAAATTAAATTTTTATTAATTTATTCGTAGGTAGTTACGCGTACGAGTAATAGACTGCGACCGTGTAGTAGACGCCCCCAGTTTATTGCGTCGTAGTGTCGTGGCAGCTCGAACAATTCGTTCCAAAGCTCGTAGACCCCAACGCAGATGAAATTCTCGAGACTGGAAGATAGGCGGGAAGTAAATATCCGGGGGAAGAAAAGCGAGCAACCGTCGCGATAGAAGGTAACGATCGTGTTTTCCCATAGAAAAACATTGGCCACGCGAGCGTTCGATCCGTCGGCGTCGACCAAGAGGACGAAACTGAAAACTTTTTACGTGATTATTATACCAATGTTTTTCGAGAAAGTAATATTTCCGACCACGAAAAGTTGAGGAAAAAGAAAATAACCTCCTTCTTTTTCGAAGTCGGTTAAAAAGTAATCGTGAAAAATTGTTCTACATACATTTCGATATCTATCGATTGGAACAATTCAAACTTACAATGTATCTCCTGTCAACTTGATAGAGGTAGTTCGTTGGATGAAACGAGACGCATTTTTATTGGCAATTACCGACTAGGTGACGAATCACGAACCACGAACCACGGAGGGCGGACAGGGGATCGCATCGCAGGCTCTTGTACATCATGTGACCTCCGTACCGGTCGATAACGGTCAAGCGATCGGAAATATTTTCACGTCTGGTACACGGAAAAAAAAAGTAGGCAGTTTCGATTGTCCGATGTCTACCTTATTCGCCAAATCCAGCATATTTCCGGTTCCTCCTGCGGCAGCTTCCACTAGCTTCTGAAGGGTATGAGGCTCCGGAGAGAGATCTCTTGCTCCACTATCGAATTCCCAACTTTCATGACGGCCCGATACGGTACCTGAACAAGACGAAAAATCAGCTTATTCAAAACGTAAAAATCTTTCTTTCCGAAACACGTTTCGTGTACCTTTGAAAAATGGCTTACAACGATAGAACGAAATGCCAAACGATAACTCACCGAGACTGTTGTCGCTGCTGGTAGGCAAATACTCTGGCGTGTGCGTATGATGTGGACTAGTTCGGTGCTTGCCGGACCTGAGAGCTTCGATTTCTGGTCGCAAAGCTAACCGTCGTCTCAGGAACTCTTGATAGGAAATGCGACCGTGCTCATCCGCTCCTAATTCCCTCATCAACTCCTCCACCGAATTCTCGAGATTGAGTTCCCTGCACACCGTCAGCAGATCTTGGCTAAAATTTCAAACGGAAGAATACTTTGGAGCATCGATTTTACGAACATGCTTTGCGACGAAGAAGAAACAAAAAGTCGGAAACTCGTTGGAGAATAGTTTAGAGAAGGCGAACGCCAGTACGCGAACAAGGATAACGTCCGCGTTGCGTCGATCGGATCTCACACACGTTATTGTTCGAATAAGCTTAGTTGCAATTTTCCTAATGTTCGCGGTTGGCGATTTTTCATCGCAACAAATACCACTTTAGCCCCGAAACATGGACGATACCCATCCGTACACTTGTTCCACGAGAAAGTTTTCGGGTCGAAGGTTGCACCGCTACAGAAGAAAGAAAACGAATAGAAAGAGTGGGTTGTAAGCGGCGAAAAAGCGAACAAATACGCGGTGAAAAAGGGTTGCTCGCTCGGTCGATGAAAAGCGACATGGGTATTTCATGTTAAGCGCGTTCCGGTCTATTTTGCTCGCGCACACACCCTTCAATCGGGCACACCGCGAATAAAAGGGCTGCTTCTCCTTCGGATAATCCTCCCTTTTCGGATGCTTCGATGTTCCCTGGCTGGATATGCCGCATCGCGCCGCGCCAGTTAGGTCCGTCGTTAAAAAGAAAACAACAGAGACAACAGAGAGAAAAGGGTTAGGGAGAGCCGAGAGATGGCCAAGTTTTCGTTACGTGAAAGAGGGAAAGAACCGAGAGAAACGAAACATTACCTAATGCCGCGTTTTCACTGAGAAAAACACCGAGCGTTCTCCCGCACCCGAACGCTCGCCACACACACGCATCCATAGCGTAGCCGTAACCGTAACCGTAACCGTAACTGTAACTACCGCCAACCCCATATCTATCCTTTGTCGTCTTCTATTCTCTTTCGCGGCCTTTCAATATCCGAGTTATCATCAACGGGTCGATAGTTACTTTTCGAGTATCGTACATAGGAAATGGGTGACGTGACCTCGATATCGGCCCACTGCGATTTGCAACATTTCTACGGAACGCACTGATCGATGCGTTTTCACGCGTTTCGGTAGCGTGCAATCGTACGTTTAGGTAGGTCAGGTACGTTCTGGTTGCGGATGAGGCAGCGAACAAACGAACAAACAAACACAGTCGTAGTCGGCATGGTATTTGGCCGCTGGAATTTGCGTGCGTATCGCGTGATTAATCGAGTGCCAGAGGTCGAAGGTATCTTTGAATTATAGCAACCAAAGTGCCATGACTTTTGTCTGACGTTCGCATCGCTAGATTTTCGCACCATCGGTTTCTAACATATAACTGAGGAAAACGGAGTGCGGTAATCGCGCAAGCTAAAACAAGGGTAGGAACGTTTCGGTAGAGTATTTAAAAGTACATAAATAGTAGGTACAAGTCTAACGGTGAGAAGCACGGAGAGCGATCTCGTTTCCAAGGGTAGCTTCGAATGGCAAGTTTTACACACAAAGAAAAACGAGAAAACGCTTCGCTCTTTCTCTTTCCCTTTCTTCTTTTGCTTTCTCCTTTTCCCTTTTTCATTTTCATGCTGTTTCACCGACGAAATTTCGACGGAGTCTTTCGAATTAGAGTAATCCTTTATCGTTAGACCTTTTGTGATAATATAATACCTATTATCTTGGTGAGGATTTTAATCGTTTAATCGTTTAATCGTTTAATCGTTTAATCGTTTTCGAGCCAGCAATGATACTATCGTCAAGATACAACATAAAAGTTAACAGACTGTATTAGCGAATGATATATCGTTCGCTCTTATACTCTACATACATGTATATCTGCGCGCGGAAATTCATCCCGGAACGAAGTGAAAGATCTGAAAGGAAGATTCAAAGTTCGCATCGGTAACCGTTTGATGCTAAAAACGAAGCTTGGTTGCTTCGTGCAGGCAAGAATACAAATACCCCGGTAACAGCCTCGATTTTCCGGCGTCGCGCGTCGGTTGGTTAATTTTCGCGAGAAACGATCCGAATAGGTATTACAAGTCGCAGCGGGAGCAATGGTTTGGCACCGAACAATTAACGAAACGGAACGAAAGACGTGAAACAGAGAGCAACGAACACGGTTATGCGTTCAACGAAGAAACCACGGTAAGCGCGTTGTATGCTGTTTTCCATACATACTCGTCGTATCTTGGAAGTTTATTCACATACGGTGGTAGCGAAAAAAAAGAGCAGAACGCGTTTTCCGGACGGATTAATTCGTAATATCGCTTGCCACAACGAATATACGTATACGTATACGAATATTATATAAATTAAAAGGCAATTTTGATCAGATTCGCGTGGTGAAGAGTTAATCGACAATTAATCGTATTAAATTTTAAATATCGTTCTATGGTTGCAACAAGTATGCTACAGTTCCGAAGTGTGACAGTTGAATTCGTATATAAGTAAGTAGGTAGATTGATACGTACACAGCTATTTAATCGCTACTACCAGCTACCTATGCGTAAAGAAAACATTTCGTTTTAGTCACGCAATTATTCGATAGAGAAACATTGTTTCAAGTAATCAACGGTTAATCTGACATAAACATGTAAAGGAACTAACGATCAGCTCCGATCGGACTATTCACCTGTCGATAAAACCATCTCCGTCGCCGTCGCATGCTTGGAACAACTTCCTCACGCGTTCCTCGTCGCAGATGGAGCCGGCTTCACTCTCGGCATCCGCGATTTGTGACATTTTCACTTTACTTCACTTCGCTTCACTCCGCTTCACTTCACTTCACTTCACTTGTTTATCCATTGCGACTCAAACTTTTGGCGCACTAGCTCGCTGTTTCTTGTCCATCTTTTCCTTCTACCCTTTACAAACTTACTTGGTTTTTCAAACCATGTCCCTTTCTATGTCGTTACTTGCATTTTAGCTTTCGATTTCTTCTATCGGCAAGAAACAAGTGGACCGTGCGAACAAACGAGGTGGATCGTTATGTCACGTGTTACATCGTGATCCGTTTTTAAACAATGTCGAGAAATACATACTGGAACTGGCACCACGATAGCGTTGATCGAGGAACATAGAGGCCTACGAACCGCGATGGACGAAACTGCTATTTTTAGCTGGCCTAAAGCGGTACGTAGATTTCCTTGTTTCCGAGGATTTTATTCGTGCACAGAAAATAAGCAGATCGGTTGCGAGAACGCGTGCCATTCCCTCTCGAACGTATGTATGTTTCGTATCGTCAGTTTACGAACGCTTTCACGATACGATCTTGCAGCTCGTCTGGCCCGGTATCGGTATTCGAAGTAGCATTGGCATGGGCTCGGGCTTGTGCTTGTATACGTCCTGTTCCATAGAACGTCTCGAAAACGTGAGACGGTTCTGTTCTGGCACCGCGTTCGCTCGCACGCACACGGAAAGAACTCGTAACCGCAGTTTCCAGTGTCACCGAGTCACTAACCCTAACCTCAAAACCAGACCCAAGGCTCGCCCACTCTCGCGAGTCGCACAGCGGCAATCAAAACTATCGATTGAGCGTTCCGCGGTCGAAAAACTTTGACAGCTCGCGCCATCTTGAAATTCTACGGTACGACTACGACGCGAAAACAACAAAAATGGCGAGTATGCCGGCTGGCTCGGAGTCGGAGCAGCTCGGAACTCCGAAGCACGAAGGCTCACGGCTCGCAATCAGCCGCCGGCGAAACATTCGAATCCGTCTACCAGATGTCGGCTCTATCGCGACCAATTCTATCGTAAAAAGATGAGAGTTTTCGTTTTGGAGCAAGACTATAAACTGTAAGTATACGTGTGTAGCTTATCTTTATTAGAGATTCGTTTTCGTTTTCGTTTTCGTTATCGTTATCATGATCATGATCGATAACGTTCTTTTGAATCGATATTTAATCAATATTCTTTTGTACATAGTACCGAACTTTCATTACCCCCCGTACAAGCATCGATCGAGTCGAATAACTTTTTCTAACATTTCAACTTGTCCGCGAACGTAGGTAGCAGTCGATTCAGTTTTCCGATATCGTGATTAACAATAAAAACCCACATTATGGATCGAGTGTGCCGTTCGGTGGGCAAACCGTTTAATAAAACGCTTTTATCAAACCATTGATTCTTCTCTTGGATTCTTCTCTCCGTTAGCTTCCGACGATTCTCGTCGGACCGATCGCTTCGCCACTTTCTTATCCGGTTCTCCGTCTTCGGACTCGCTACTCGTACTACTCGTCCAACTTTCGCGGCTCCTCTTCGCTGGCTTGTTCTCGCCGGGCTCCTTCTCATCGGCATCGGCCACTGTCTTCTCGCACGCTTCGGAACCGAACTTTTCTTTCACTCGAGAAATCAACTTTTTCAGCTTAGACGGATCCGGACTGTATCCCAACATAACGCACCGTACGTGTTCCTTGGTCGGCAATCCCCGGAAATCCCCAACATCCGTCTCGTACCACTGTGCGTGCGTTTCTTTTATCTTATCGATGATCTCTTTCAATCTTCGATTCCTTTCGATATCCCAGGTGATTTTCCCGTTTGAGAACTTTACGAGCCGTAAACTTTTGTAGTCTCCCTTTTCCTTCTTGTAGACTCTGAAAAACATACGATCGAGGACCATCAGCTACATCGAGAATATTCGGAGAGTCGACGAAACCGATAGAGATAGTTGTTAATTACTCGAAGAATTCTTCGTCCAAGACATCGTATTTGCGAGCAAGAATCCTAAAGGCATTCACAGTCTCGATCGGCAAGTAAGCGAGGTTCTCCTTGCCGCGATTCTTCTCCTTGTAATCGGTCAGCCAATCCTCGAATACTTTTAAAGCCTCCCGCAAATTGGTAAGCTTCTCCTCGTCTTTTGTGATTTGTAGCGTTCTCTTGGTGCGACTCACGAAACTCACGATTACGTGGTATTGATAGCTAATGTCCCGGCCGTCCAGAGCTTTCAACGTTTCCAAGGCCTTTTGTTTGTCCTTGAAACCCATCGTTGTCTCCGTCGTCGTCGTCGTCGTCGTCGTCGTCGTCGTCGTCGTCGTCGTCGTCGGCGTCGGCGTCGGCGTCGGCGTCAATTCCGTCGATTTACTTGTCGACATAACTGAAAGAATGACACACATATGCGATATATAGGAATTTCACCGTAAAACCAATCCAGTAAAAAAATAAGATCGAAACAGCATACAGAGTTACCATAGGATACGAAACCGTGTCGTCGAAATATGGTCGAAAACTAAACAGGTTCGAGAACGGTTCGTACAATATCGAAAAGCCTCGATAAACACTCACCTGTAACTGGTACACTCTTTGATGCAATGTAATATCAGGTTAAATTTGATATCACCGATCATCCGGCTATTAATTACGCCGTATCAAGCTTTGGGTTGAATCGAAAAACGGCTTCGTTTCTTCCAACCGTTCGATTAACAGTGGCAAAGTCACCGGAATCCGCCTCGAATCACCGATGTTCACAAACGAGACATCTACGCGGGTGGAACAAGGATAACCGTTGATTTTCAAATCGAACAGAAAGAGAGGGATCGATATAAAGAACGTGGTACGTGTCATAGCCAGAAATACATAGACAGAGTCGACCTCAGTCGAATAGTCAGAGCTTACGTCACCGACTAGTTGGAACACGTTCGAGCGAGAAGGAGAAACCGACATACCAGGTTTCACTCGTTACTTTCGTTGATAAACGTTGCACGCGTTGTCATCTTTCTATCATCGATACCTACATAAGACGAAGATAAGTTTGGTAAGACCGATAAACGAAAAAGCTCGAACGAATCCTCGAACAAATTGAAATCTAATATTCCGATAGAGATTTATTTGTTATTTACAGAAATTACAGTGCATCCAATGACTTAGTACTACTCGAGCTCGTAACAACGACCACGAGCACAGCCGGATCTCCACGACTACAAGATATCTATTTACAGGTTCATACGAACACGTATGCACAATCGAAATACGACCATTTACATTTCACGTTTGCCGATTGTCACGCGAATGGCCGACCAAATGATTCCAAGTAGTCTACATACAGAAGATCCAATTGTCTACCATTTATTTCTACGATCGCTAACGAATTTCCGCCTAATTTATGATGTCGTGCGGCCATCGACAAACACGTATACGGTCGATATATGTATGTTTATTTGTAAGGAGCAATACTCTCGACATCCTTTTTCAATTTTCACCCGTATTCGAGACGATTTACCACCGTAGGCGGATCAAACAAGAAAATCACGTGGTTGTTCGAGTCTGTTAAACGACACCCTTACTCTCTTTGTGCGTTTCCATTTACCCTACCATACCGTTTCGTGGTAATTTCTCTTTGTTTTTCAACTAAACTTTCGACTAAAATCTTCATTTATAGCCGAAAATGTGACTTTTCGCGTCCAATTGATTTTGTTCGAAGCGCGTAGAGAACATTTGGAGAATCAATCTCTGACTCGTCAGTTTTCGATAATGCTACGTGAAATTCAGCAGACGCAGCTCCCTACACCGAGGCAAGCGTACGAAGTTTGCTCAATTTTCGAGGTAGCGGTGGTGGTTGTGGTAGCGTCGAGCAAGGTTGGCTGCGAGAATGTCGGAACAGCCGGTAATTGTGTTCTCTGTACGGCGGCGGCGGCGGCGGCGGCGGCAGCGGCAGCGGCACCGCCGTCGTACAAAATCGATGACGCGTCTCGCTCCCTGCTGGTACTGTCCGTTTCCTGACCGTACAGGAGCCTCGGTAATTCTTGACTTCTAGACTCGGTTGACGCATCGTGGGACGACAAACGGCTGTAGTTCAGAAAGGTCTCTGCGTAGCTCGATGGCGGATGATGATGGTTGGCATTGTACTCGTGCGAGTAATGAGGATGATATCTGTTTGGCGGTGTCTTGAAACCGTCGTTACCACCGAGGTACTGGTGCAGATGGTGTAAGCTGGACGATCCGTACACTGTCGCGTACAAAACGTGACGAGTTCAATTTTGTTGTAATCATTAATCATTAATCATTAATCATTAGTATTATTTAGGAAAGAGGACCGATTCGGAATAATTGCAATTTTTTTCTAAGTATTCAGCGTTGAACACGGTCGAAAAATGTCTGTCAGTTCGTTGTCAATCGTTCTCCGACGGAGAAATTGTCGCGATCGAAAAAGCAAACGTTATTATTAACGAAGCAATTTTTTTTTTACACGGTCAATGTCTTTTGTGGCACAATTTTCATTTACATCGGTTTGCGTTACCACTGTCATTGAACAAGCGTTATTCCTTGGATACCGATTCGCTATCGATAATAAGTTAGTAGGTATACGAAGGCTGACCTGCCGCACTATTCGAGTACATAGCGAGAACTGCGTCCCCGTATCCAGCAGTAGGATGTTCTCTCAATTCGGAGACATCATTCGTGGACGATATCTTGCCGGACATGGACTGACTTCGAACGCCGTTCCGTACTTGTCCAGGAAGACTGGACGATCCTCCAGTGCCGTACGCCATATTAAATAACGCTTCCGGATCGCAGACGAATTTGTAGACGTATCTTTCGCCTGCTACCTTTTGCATTATTCCTTTCTCGTAGTAATACCTCAGCGACCTACTTAGTTTGTCGTAATTCATCGCCGGTCGATTTTTTTGAACGCCCCATCTACGTGCCACCTGTGGAAGAAACAAAGGGAGAGTGAGTTTTACTGTTCGCGATACCGAGACCTGTCGAATTACATAATTGTACGATTTTCGACGTGCACTTGATACGATACGATACGATACGATACGATACGATACGATGCGATGCGATGCGATACGATACGATATGAAAAGAGACAATACGGTACGATACGACACGACACGACACAATTCTATACACTGCTTTTTTCACCTCTTCGGGTTCGATCAGTTTAAACTCCATTCCACGACCGGTCCATGCGATACAAGGTGCATTTGCGGGATCGTCTAGCAAGGTTACCAAGAACTGCCAGAGCTGAAGAGAACCACGACGTTGCTGTTGATAGCCAACGGTCATTTCGCTCCAGGGTGACACTCCTGTCGTCGAAGATGGCCTCTTGCTGGCATAATCTACGTTCCAAGAGGTCGGAGATCCCTTCTTCTGGTAACAGTTTCCTTGTTTCTCCCACGTGGACGTTCTCGGATCTAATTGAACCCCTAGCTCGGTCCACGTAGGTGTCACGCTTCTTTTCCCGTAGACGTCCGAGCTCCAGTTTTCCTGTCGCGGAAAGAAAGCGTCGCCGCTCGACGCCGACACGGTCGAGTGCCATTGAGATGCAGCGGAAGACGTGCTAGCTGGTCGGTTAGGCGACGGGGAACCTCTGGCGTTTCTCGTTCCGTTTCCGTATTGCTGTTGTTGCTGCTGATATACCAAGTTATTGCCTGTGGAAAATTACAACTGCTTTACATCTGCATGGATATCGAATAATTTCCGAATACTCGGATTAGTCATCGTAACGTGTACGTATCAGTTATTTGTTATTAGGTGAGATAAATTGACGCGTACGCGATGCAGCTGTTGGACCGGCAAGCATCAAAGAGACAAGGATAAGATCGACGAGCAAGACGGTGGAGGTGGGCGTGGGAATGGGGATGGGAGTAGGGCGAGATCCAACATCCAACGCGAACCGTGAAAAAGGACGAAATGCCTGCAACGTATTAGCGATTGCACTCACGCACGGTTGTCGGTGAAGTGCTCGTCACACAAATATCGGCAGGAAATTGGTTGATATTCAAAGCCCACGGGGTTGCCGGCTTGGCGAAGCTCGCGGATGGCGGCACCGCCTGAAATACCGCGCGGAGCTCGCGCGATATGTATATTAATCGAGAGTGCTCTCCTCTCGGGGTGCACCAACACCGCCAACATCCCACCGATGCCGTTGCCGTTGCCGTGGTCCCTCGAGCCGAAAAAGCTATTCTCGACCCGTAATCCGGTTACATTCCAAGTCGTGTACGGGGAATATTGAAAAATTGAGAACCCTCCTCTTCCGATATCGAGCCGGAACACGACGCTGTTAACCGTGATACGTCCAGCCCGTTTTCTACAGGACAATGAAAATTGTTTCATTCAAAGGAACGCGGCGACACGACAGAAATTCGTTGCTATTCAAATTTCAATTTCCTAGCATTTCTCCGAATTAACATATGCATCACGAATCTTTTCCGCGTATCCACTTACGAATTTCTTTTATTTCCGCATCGAATTTCCAAAGCGGGCCAATTTACACGCTCGTTCGCGTAAACATCACATAGAACTCGTCCTTTTTCTCAAACGGCACCAACAACGGTGAAATAATAAAATTCCATGGTGGTTAACCAGCAGGAATTTTAGCGATCGAAGTAAATCAACAGGAAGGGTTACTTATACGAGGTTAATCGTGTCGGCGAGTTAGCTTTAGTTTCCTGGCTGGTAAACGTCGGCGTCGCGGTCGGATCCCGATTTTGTGTAGACGAGACAGGCAGGGACTAGGAGGAGTCGGAGAGGGTTAAAAGCTGCGGGCCAATGTGGCACTCAGTGTCTCTCCGAAGAGGGGTGAAAGGGGTCGACCTCGACGCGCAACCGGGGCCAGAGGCTTTGCGGGTAGTTTTAGATTAAAATTAATCGCGAGCTGATGAAACCGGTGGCGACGTACCGAGCAGGAAAAGGGTTGAAGCCGGGACTGGTCAGGGGCGGTGCGCAGAAGGGTTGCACGGAAAAGAGGACGGCCTCCACTCGTCCACTCTCAGACGAGAAGCTTCGTTCTTTCTTCACCCTCTCTCCTCGTCTCTCTTCTGCTCCCGGATCCCCTCTATCTCTCTGCCTGATCCCCGAATTCCGGAGTAGAGGTTACTTAATAATGTAAGGTCCATTTTCCACCCACCTCACGCGCCGAACGGCTCTTCTTCAGTTCCGTTTCTGGGAATTTACGTAGAACCGTCTGCACCGAAACGAATTATTCCAACTAATTGTAAGCCATAGCGTGTTATTAATCATGATTCTTATATAGAATAAATATAATCTCGATAATACTCCATCGTTTGTTTAAAAAGTCCAACAAATGTTCAAATTCGAAAAGATACGAAACTCGATAAGCTTGCTCGTAAGTTTAGACGTAAGTTTAGTCTGATCGTAGAATCGTCTGTTGTAATTTCGAACGTGATATTGCTTTTATTGGCTAGATTCACAACACGTTGGGATTTCATTTCATGCAAACACGACCAACACCATAGCCAGCCGATGAATCGAACTTGACCGTCCGTAATCCTGGCGATCCTCGTGTTCGAATTAATTAGTGGGTAGCGGCTACCAATCTCTACCCATTAACTGGTTATTACTATTCCACTCGATATATATCGTTCGACGATATCGGCTCGTCGATTTAGCCAACTAATGAGAGAACGTATGTAGTTGTCGGCATATATGGTTGTCGCGGTCGATCGTCTACCGGATTTCACGTGTCTCCGTTACTCTACGAAAATTCACGCGTGTGCTATTCTTATATTCCGTTAAAGATCAACCTGTATTTTCTTTGAGATTTTTTAATGTTGACTATCGTCAACATTAAAGGTGCAGAAGAGAATAGAATAAAGAATAGAGTTTTGCCAGAAGAGAGGGAGAAGCATTTCATGCGTTTTCGAGGCCCTATGTCGAATGCATGGCATTGTACGATGGCATCGCATCGCATCGCATCGTATCGCGTCGTATCGCATCGTATCGGGAGTATATTCACGGAGCGTAGCTAGGTCGTATGTGTTGAGAGGTATCGATAACAACGATAGGTATAATCCTATTATTAACCTAAACTGTGTGTAAATAATTGAAACGGCTTAATGGTAGAGAGGAATTACGCGAAGAGAAGTAGAAGCATAATTCCCGAGTGACTAGCAAAGTAAATATGTAGGTATACGCCGTTACACAGCGGCACGGTGCCGGTGGTGTCGATGTCGGCCAGGCAGCGAATACAGCAACCGAGTTCCTAAAGGATTCGTTTGGTGTACGTGCGTGAATAAAGGGAAGACTAATCGGCCCGATTACCAACCATGAGCTTGCAGACCCTTGTTGCGTCAGCTCTCCAGCCTTTTACGGTCGGATCGTACAATGTTTGCCTTCGCGTCCAAGTCTATTAAGTAATGGTCCGATAGTCTAGCTAGGAGAGTTTAACACGCGGCGCGGTAGCTTTCGCTGATTGTTCGAGATTCCGATATATCTTATTATACATATAATACGATCCTTTCAAATCGATGCGATGCCGACGATGTCTGTGGATCAGCAACGTTTCGTGTCTCGCAACGTTCATTTTTCACCGGATTTCTTTGTTCGAGAGAAAGCCCGTTGATTCGCAGTCTCCCCAGGGAGAGAATTCTATGCTCTTTCCATCGTTTAGTAGCTTTTGCAGAATCCTACGAGGCGCACTCCGCAGCTTTCGAGTTGAAAGCATTCTTCAATTATTCACTTACGCGTACTTAGTCACGCGTGAGCCAATCCACTGCATCACCGACAAACGTTACACGAGCTATAGATTCCCCGCTGAAACATTCTCGAGAATTCTCTTACTCGGTACTCTCTACCCTGGCCAAACTTCCATCTCGGCAAAAATCTATTCAACGAATTATAACAAGTATAGATTTTTCTATAGCTTTTTACGCTTGGCAAACGACAATCGAGAAGACAACAGGGTAAATACAATGGACTCGGATGACGTTATTAAAGTACGGTACAGTCCAAGAACAGAGTCCGGAAGAAGAGCTCGAGCTAGAGTTCGATTAATGGATGGAAGCTAAACTACTACCCCTGCGCTTCGGTTATTTATGGGATCTATAGGAGAGCGGCAGGCCACGTGAATCCATTGTCGAGAAATTTGTCACGGTCACGTTGTATGATACGTGTAAGAAGAGGGGAAACGTTGATTAGTCGTAGTAGATTGGACTATATCGGATTCGCTATACGTTACCGTGTTAATTAATGCTGAAAAATCATTAGTATCTCTTACTGCTTCGGTTTTCCTGGACGATCGAAGCCGACGTGGCTATGTTCGTTACGGGTATCGGTTCCCCGTATCCTCTGTCCGTCGGTTCCTCCTTTACCGCGATGCGTTTCGCGACATCGCTTGTCCGCGAATTCAGTTTTCCATTTCTGTGCAACATAGTAGTAAACGATCTTTATTGGTTTTCCGCTCGACGACGAAATATTTTCATTTCAGATTCTTTTATTCTATCCGATTTGATTTCATCCGCGCGGCACATTGCAAAATGTACCGTGCATCAAAGACAAGAATAATACTTTGATTCGCAATTGGATCAATATCAGTTCTCGAAGCTTTGTTTCGCTTACCCAAAGCAGTTTGGACGGTTGTCTGGATCGAGATCGAGGAAGATACTGCCTTGGCCGTGCGAATGATTAATCGATGCTTGATATTGCGTGTAATTGGAATCGTTGATTCTCCTACAATTCGCAGATTCCTGCTTTACGCTGGCATCTGAGAAAATAGATCGATATACAATACTATACATACTTGGATCGTTTCGTTCGTTATGATATTTATCGTTAGTAGGATGTTTTCGCGAAACATCCGTTCTTTGCGCGGACATACTTGGAGCATATAAACAATATTTGATCGAATCGATCGAGCGAGGATCGTTTCTTCCGAATGAAGATTGGTGCGGTTCGGTGCGGTGCGGTGCGGTGCGGTGCGGTGCGGTGCGGTGCGGTGCGGTGCGGTGCGGTGCGGTGCGGTGCGGTGCGGTGCGGTGCGGTGCGATGCGATACGATGCGATGCGACCGCGGCGAAACGTAACGCAGCAAAGCGCAGCGGGGTGCCGCGACATCGTAAGGACGCGTGTCGTAGCGGAAGCAACACAGCGCATCGCTGCAATGGTTCGCGCGAGGGGTGGATTCGGTTCTAATGGGGCCGTCGACGACTTTGCGCAGCCGAGGGTGCGGTACCCCCGATAAATCAAACAAACTTTGGCCGTGGGAAGCATAAGTCAGATGCTCCGGGCAATCATTGTATTTGCAAACATCGGAAGCCTGTCTGCCACGGGAGAACCGCCAACAGTCAACGACTCGCGACTAAGTTGCTCGAAAACATACGGATTTTCAATCTCAACACGATTTTCTTTCTTCATCTCGGGACTATGTCCTCTCGATTGCTTGTAACTTGTAACAACGAAACGCTCTCGTACGATAACAATTCCGTTCGCGATACGCGGCGATTTATCGTGTCCCTGCGACCAACAGTCAACAGACAAAGGTCAATCGACAATGTTGCAATCTTCTGTCGGTTTCGAATGAAACACGAGACAAAGAAAACAAAGTTAGCTTCTTACGATCCTCTCGTCAGTTATTTTCGTGCCGTTACACCGTGGTGTGTAGAACGTAACGATACTCGGCGAACGATACCCCGAATAAACGTTCATCGGTAAATCTTGGCTGCAGTTGCATTGTTTACCTCGGACCGGGTACGCTTCGAATATTTGCGCGAGCAATACGCGCGCAAACGAGAAATGCCGCACCACTGCACTGCACCGAATAAAATTAACAGATCGAGAGCAAATTTAAGCTCGCGTTACGATGCAGTCAATTACAAGCCATGATTTATAATTATAATACATGTATGCAAATTTGGTAATCGTTTCTTTGGTCCATCCGCCAAAGGTTCCGTCTCATCCACGATCAACACGTGATTAGAATGCGAATATCGGAAACGCCATCCTTTCCATTACAATCGTAATTCAACTTGGAAGAAAACGAAATTTATCCCGAAGCAATTTTTGTTAGATTTTCGATCGATGTATTTCTATGTAAGAAAGCCAATCTTTTCGGTTGTATCACGTATTACAGGACAGGTTCCGTATAGATCGCATTATTACTAACAAGAAATTTCTTTATCGAACCAGCACATGTACGTCGAGAGGAAGATGCGTGTGTAAGTGAGCATATAGACATTATCCGGCGTACCCTCTGGCCGTTTGCCCCCCGCCCCCACATTCATCCATCTATTCCCAGCGTATCGAAATATTTGCCGGTTTCGCCATACACAGTGCTGCTGGACGGATTAGCAAAATTTCGCGGGAACCGAGCGATTGCTTGTGGCGCGATATCGAGTCGTTGTTCGATAAACTGAGCTAGTGGTTGGAGTCGAGAGACTCGGGTAATCAGCCGAGATTCAAGGAAGGGGATGAAAAAAAGCCTTCGGACTTAATATAAAGTGCTTCCTCGTGTAACGCGATATTGCCGCTTTAAAAACACCAGCCCCGGGCAGTTTATTGCCTTTTTTAATAAAGTCTCGATATTGCTCTCGCCAGTCGAAACGAAATTTCACTGTCGGACGAGCGAAGCAAAAAGATCAATTTCCAATGTTTTTCTATTAAATGAAAACGTGTTTCCAAAGGTAAACATCGTTTTTCCTCTCTTGCTTTTACGGGGCTTTCTACTTTGTTGAATTAGAAAAATCGACGTATTTTAAGTAGATTCCTTTTTCTTTTTAAATAACATTTTTTCAAAGCTCCAAGTACTAATAATCCAAGTTAAGAATACTCGTGGAAAAGATGTTGACGCGCGAACCAAGCATGTACTCGATCACGGAACGCAAGAACCGCGTCGCGTCGCGTCGCGTCGCATCAAGTGCAAATCCGTAGCTTCCTGTACGCGCAGATTGTATCCAAGTTCTTTCCAGTTGAGATTAAATTGCTTGCACGTTACATTTCCGCGCAGCTTCCGTTCCTATGGAGATTGACTTCCTTCGAACTACATACGCCTCTACTTGATGTTATCGGAACGTGGCAATTAGGAATCTCCAGACGTTGCAAGGTATTCGAGTAATCGAAAGGTCGAAGACAAAAAAAAAAAATCTTGGACCGAAAAAAGTCTTTGTACGTAAAAGTATCGAAATCTGTCGACTAACTTGACATTCGATGAAACTCCGGCACGTATTGCTCGCTGTCCTCCGTCTCGCAACCGCTACCTGTAATGCAATTCCGACCAAATGGAATCTTATCTTTGAAAGTATCTTGGCAAGCAAACATTACCGGTAAATACATAGTATACTAAATGTTTTCGCAAAATACATTCGTGGAGAGAATAGAAATTCAAGTAAATTCTATCGAGCGATTAATAAACGAAGGAAAGCTGCAGAAAGACTGTTATATTCTTTCGTATCCATCGTATCGTTCCCGATAAACACTAGTTTCCTACCATCTACATTACAAGCGCCAATTTTTTTCTTCTTTTTTCAATTTTTATAATCTCCTTACAATTACGACAAAACGGACTGCAACGCGCGAGGATGGAGGATCGATGAATCAATTTAACGAATAAACGCGGATTAACTGTATGAAAATAAACAAGAAATACGTTGGAAGTAGTCGTAAGTCGTCAGCTATGAATACATATAATTACGATCTCCCTCCTGACAGGCAATCAATTTTTCACCGACTCGTCCTTGGATATTCCCTCGTTATTCTCATTAGTTCGATGCATCTTCCGTGCAGTACATTACAGTTGGTCAGAGTAATTAAAATTAATGTTCCGAACAGTAGACCGACTACTGTAATTAATCGTCTCGGAAGAAGATTTACGAAGAAATTGGTAATGGCTTTACGACGTAACCAACGATTCTTTCCAATGTTACACCAGCAAGAATATTTACGTACGCGCGCGTTACGATTGATTGTCGCATGTCGGCGCGTTTTTTTTCATTTCAATGAAAAGCTTAATATGGAAAATACGAAAGGTTAATATTTTACAGCTTTCGATCGAATCGACAGAAATCACGATAATACATTGACGATTCAAGTATAGACAATCTTCTTACTTAGTTCTTACTATATGATAGATGCGTTGAAAATACGAATAGTAAAAGAAAAGAAAAAAAAAAAAAAAAAACACGCCCGAACAGGGACTCGAACCCTGGACCCTCAGATTAAAAGTCTGATGCTCTACCGACTGAGCTATCCGGGCAATTGTAAATCCCGTTTTTCAAACAATTGCTATTGGAAACGAGGTATAAATGAAAAGATAAAATACTAATTTTATTAAGCAAAAGTTTCGACTTTATTTGTTCTGAGTCGAGAGGGCAGGTCGTATCATAAACTTGATCTTTTCTTAGGTCTCTTAGAGAGTACAGGTAACGGTTTACCGGAGAGGTCAGGCATATGTGTCGGCCTCGGAAGCTGACATAGACGTTTCGGTTTGGCTGCGTAGGTGACCCGTATGGGCGAGCCTCTCCCCGAGTGAGCCGTTGCGTGTATGCTCATATACATATATACTAAAGTGAATAGTCACTTTAGTAGTAAAATAAAAGATTGAATTCTAGTAGGTATTTGTACAATTTGAACAAGTGAAACATTTCTTAAATCGACAATTCTTTACTTATTCGTTGTATAAATGCAAATGTTACTCACCATCTTGAAGCCAAGGTTCCTGTCTGTATTCCTGCTCGGAGTATATTTCGTTTTCTGAAATCAAATTTCCCTCCTTTTACACGTTCAATTCAACAATTGCAACGTAAAAATGAGAATTTCTGACATTCGTTGATGATGACAGTTTTCGAATCGAGTGTATAAATTTATGAACGGGTTGTAAAACAACGAGCATCCTACACGTTATAACCATCGTTTTTGTCGAGATACGGTGCTGGCTGGTTTATCGAAATATCCGTCGGTCATGTTGGTAATTTCAAGCAAAAGGCAAAGCAAAGGAAAGAAAGGAAAGAAGAGAAGAGGCAAGCGACGAAATGTGCCGACAGCGCGTATTCTTTGACACGTGAAATTATTTCCGAGTAATGATTTCGCGATGAGTGAAATGATTTGTCTCGCGAGAGATATAATAAGATGGAACAATGGCAGAAAGTAGGGGATGAATCATTAGGAAAAACAAGCCATTCGTCGAGTAGGATACATATAAGAATGAAAGAGAAATATATGTCTATGTATGGTGCATGGGGTTGGTTTAATGGGCTACTAGAATTCGCTACGGGTAGCCACTCGTCGGTAACCACGTTTTGTTCCCAGTGACGATCCCGCCCTGACGAATCGCATTTACTTGCCCTCGTGGATGATAATGCGCGTTCCAGTTCAAGTCGTAATAACGCTCGAGGCGAAGTAGACGAGTCAAGTCTCGATAATTCAAATCTCGATAGCCTCCCGTAGAAGAGAGTGTACATTCGTGATATTAATAATTCGTGAATATACTTTAATTACGCATGGATTATATACAAACTCGAATACAAGACAAGTTGTTAGACATCGCAAAATGTTTCCTCGAGACATATTTGTAGCAAAATATTTCCGCGATCGAATCTATTTGTACGTAATAAAAGAAAAAAAGGAAAGTCGAAAGGTGAAAAGCGAGAGGAAAAGTATGTGGTTCTTTCGTTCGCGGTGAGTTTGTCGACGTTTCAATTTCTTTACACACACAGTGAATCGTCGTGGAAAAGTGGATGGCAACACTGGTAGGGCGTAACGCGATTACTACAGAGAAATTGCAGCATTATAGGCAGTGATTGAGTTAGGTAGAGGCGGTGGTCCATCCCGACTGGTGGTTCACACCCGTACAGCATGCCGATGTTAGATATAAAGTGTCAATCACTGTGCCCAGACGTCGGTAGGGTGGTTACGAATCCTACGGGGGGTACAGCCGGCATCGACTGCCCCATGGGGCTGTTTGCGCCGATAATAGGTTATACGTTATCGAATTCATCCTGATTGTGAGACTTGTCGTCGTGCCGTCGTCGGATTTCTGGGTCAAGGTTGAGTAAAACTACCGATATCTAGGAGATAAATCGACGCGCGCGACTCGACGCGACCGCGGTGTACCCTATAGAATTTGTTCTTTTGAAATAATTGGTATTCGTTCGATTGTACGTAGATATATACGCGCGTGAATTATTCGACAAGTTGGATGAATTTATAAGGTGTCACCGATGAAAAAAATATAACTCCCTCTGGATAGTTAACACTACCTACCGTCCTACCGTTCGAGATACCGTGATACGAAACTTGCCTACTTGTACGTGTTTTATTATACACGTTTATTGTAAGGTTGTAACGGTTTCGAAACGTAATTGCATCCACAAGCCGTAGAAAATAATATCGTCGTTGATGCGACTATATAAAGATATCGACTCGCTTGCCTGCCTGCCAGTGACAGGCTCACTTCAGGGGGAGGTTCTCTCTTCACCCTCGTTGTACGTACTCGGTTCGCGTACATCCAGCACGTCCTTCGAGACGTGCTGTGACTTTTCTCTCTCTCAGTCTATCCACCCTCCTCCGTCAGTCTATCTCAGTGTACTTTCTTCGTATACAATCGACGTGTAGCCGTGTCTGCAGGAAAACGAAGACGCGGCTGAGACTTTGTATCATGCCGGAGACTCGATGTTCCCGAGCAACATCGTATCAAAGAGGTTGAAAATCAACGACTCGGAGGAAGAACCAGGGACCGCCCCTCATCTCACAACTTTCTCTTCGATTTCGTTCTAGAGAGATTTAGTCGGACCACAACCCCCCCCCCCTCCCCCCGAATATCTTTGACCGTTTATTTGCTAGCTATAGCAAAGTTGTTCGGAGCTTAGGACGGCTCTACTTACCGGGATGTAACTTGTTGTCGGTGGACGTCTGTGCCTGAGTCGCCGAATAATTAACGGGGCAATATCCCGAGACAACCGTTTGAAGCGGTTCGTTCAATCTGTTGAACTCTTCGGTGGGCTGAAAAGACATACAAGCTGGTTAAGAGGTCCGGTGATCGGTGTAGTACCGATAAGGCGCTAAGGTAATGGCCAAACGCGAACCAAAGCAACGAACGCGTTGCATTCGATCTCGACATTCGCGTTTGCTATTCGATGTTCTTACGCCTAAACCCGATACAATTCGCACACTAACAACGAAATGTAATGGTTCGATCGAGAAAATTTGCCCAAGAAATCGATTTCACCTTTCAGCGATCACCATACGAGAATGAAAATATTTTGGAGAAAATATAGGCGGAGAATCGGCTCGAAATTGGTGTAAAATCGCGAGGTAGAGGAAAAGGAACGTAGGTAGCAATTCGTAGGTGAAAGGAGTATCGTCGAGAGGAAGAGGATTTCGAGGGAAAGCAGTGTAATCGTGGCACAATGAGAAAGAAGAGGTTGGAGAATACGGGAGAGAGAAGGCAAGGAGGACATCCGGTGAACGATTGGATGGTTTCCTCCTTGCGGAGCAATCTAGTGGTAAAGCTGGTTATCGGTTTTGGAAATTCCAATAACGTCGTGTCGTCGTCTGCTTTTACTTTGGCAAGTTTTGCTGTGCTGTGGTTTGCGTTGATCGTTTACACTTTGAAATGCAAAAAAACCAACAAGATCGCTTTGTTTCGCAAACGCTCGAGGCGCCTTTATCATCGATACACCCAAAGAACCTCGACCGATAATGTACCTATTTAACAATATACCTAGAGCAAAAGCTCGAGACGACGCGACGCGACGCGACGCGACGCGACGATCATCTTTCTATATCGGTTTATCACTTTATCGATAGGTTACCACCTCTATTTTCTTTTCTTTCCCTTGTATTTAATTCGACAGGATATTATCGTTTACGAAGACGCGATCGATTTCCTTTTCCGCTTACGTTCATTGCTTCGACCCTAGATTCTCTTCTGATTGCAATTAATAGTCATTCATAATTAGTTCCCGCGATGGCTCACCACTCTTAATCCACAAGCCATGAATATGCCCCCTAATATGAATTTTAATTACATTCTCCGATATTACATTCGATCTTTAATTCCACCAACGCGATACGCGAAGCACGTTGCCATGCCACGACGACAGCTTTAAACAATTGATACGTAGATATACATAGACATACTATTACATATATTATTCGATAGATGGGATTTGGAACAATAACGATTAGAGTATCAGTACTAGTGCTATTATTAGTATGTAACACGAAATTTTATAAACACGACGTCGCCGTTAACTAACGATTCCCTTACCAACATTGGAATTTATTATAATATCGTGTTCCACGATTGTAACGTAGCCGACCAGAAGTTAATCGAGCGTGTTTGCAAACCAATGACTCGTAAGAAAAATGCGCAAACATGATCACGTGTCGTTTAAATGTTTCTCCCTCATTCCCCTGACCTATCCGATCACAAATGTGTTTTCATGTAAAAGACGCGCGTCGTAAGTGGATCTTTGAGGGTACGCGTGTCATGTACGAGCAAACGAACGAATACGTTTTTGTACCTAGTGAAAACGAGATACCCATGAATCGCGGAGGGAGGAACGACGCCCCATCGTTTCCGATGATGCTGCGAGGGGTCGTCGCCCCAATTCCCCTTGTACACCACCCTCGTAATTGCGCACTTTGGTTCGGTTTATAATAAAGTCATCGAGTAGACAACACGTTTCAAACAGAATATTTCTTTGCCGTCGGTGAATCTCGTCGATTCCGCCGACGTCGACGCCAACGTCAACGCCAACGCCAACGCCAACGCCAACGCCAACGCCAGCGCGACGGATTCGCCACGCCAGAGAATAACAAGAAGAAGAACGTTTCAAGGATTCCAACACCGTAAATCCTACGGGTCTGTCTTCATTTTTATCGGTATAAACATAATTAAGATTCGTAAAGTAAACGCATTTTAGGCAGCGCGCAACATTACGAGCATCCTTCCTCGTTGATTAACGATCATCCAATCTCTGTCGAGATTGGTCGTCCAATTTGATCAATTAGGAAAGGCAAAAGGCGTTGCCGCCACGGGAAGAAAGTTTTTCCCTTTTTCTTTTCATCGCTGTCTCGTATGGAGGGTGAGAAAACAATGACTGTTCCGAAAGTCGGAATACGAACAATGCCAGATGACAAGACGATCTTTCTGATCATAGGGTGTCACCAGCTGAGTCTATCTACTAATTGCTCTCTCTCGGATCTTCTCATACTATATAGAAAGAAAGAAACTATTTCATTTCGCGAGAAGAAACAACGTCGCTCCAATAAATCGAGTATGAAACGCGTTCGTTACGTACGGGATTCCTGGAATTTGTTGTTGCAGATGAATTTTCGGAGGCGTTGGCCCACACTCGTCGTTACCAACAAATCGTCCGAGCCATAATCATGGGAAATTCAAGTGGTAAAGGTAACATATGCTAACGCACAGGGGTAGCAAAAATTAATCATTAGGTCGACGCAGCAGGGCGGGTGTGTGGGAATCGAGTGATTTTTAGAATCAACAAACGTAAATCAAGTGGTTCCGCTGTTAAACTTGCATCGTGTCTCCCTTTGTCCCTGACGAGGGGTGTCCGTCCGTCCGTCCGTCCGTCGGACACTCACGGCTCCCTTGCACCGTAGTCACCGTAGGTGGTGGATACGCGTACTGGATGCCTGGTCCCGTTTTCGTGCCCCAGCCACGAGGCGCTGGGAGGGATGAGTGGTGGTGACAATTACGTGTTTAGAAGGCACAAAAGGGGTGGCACCCGTGGGACGATCCATCGGACCGTGGTGGCGCGTGCCGTGGCAATTCGACACTCGAGGATCATCGCCCGAGTAGTGCATTATATTATATTATACTATACGTTTACCGACTCGGTCGACTACGGCTTGCTTGCCAGCCACGCTTACGACTTTATCGTGACGTGTCGATCGGTTTAGGGGAGACTAAAAGTGGGACTCGAGAGACGTAATTGCAGGTAACGGTGAGTCTTGAATCTTGATTCTTCGCTATTCGCAAAGACGCGATGACCATCTTAACACATTTAACATTTTCAACGCCATTCTTCAGCTGTTAGATATCAAAATATCATATTTCTTTTCTTTAGTTTGGTCCCCTCCTCTACGGGAGGGAAACCCGTAGATAACGTTAACTGACAAGTAGTTGGATACCAAATAGTTGTATTATGTCGAGAGCGCGTCAAAAAGTTGGACATATCTTGTCGAGTGTCTATCGTTTTTTTTTTTTCTTTTTTATGTAACAATCGATCGATCAAAGACTCGTACGTAACACTTGACAAAACTAGACTACGAGAATTCTGCACGCAACATCATCGAGCATGATGTGCCCTGACCCATGTCAGTCATGGAAATAATACCGGTCCATTAATACTTATCTCGTAAATTCTTACTAGTAACTCATTTCCTTACCGACAAACAGAAAAGACTACCAACAATTACAAGACAAGAAAATAATAGGATAAAATATTATATATTGTTCGTCTTACCAATCGCGTCAAATCCGTAGTTGTCGCGGGTACCTCCTGATCTTGATTCATTCTCGTCACCGTTCGCTCTTTTCGTTTAATCCGTTTCAATAATATACGTCAACGCGACCCACGAAAACGACACAGTTAAGAATCTCGATAATCCAAAGGAAAACACAACGAGCCGTCGCTCGTATTTTTAAAGCCACCGTGTTGCTTCACCGGAAAGATCAAAGATAGGACTGAGACGAGTGATTTGATCTCGGTGAACAGTGAAAAGACAGGGTGTATACATCGGGGGTTGTGTCTACGGTACGTCTACGCCCACAACGTGATATAGAATTCAGCCCTGCGCGGGCTACCCTGACTACGGGTTGCTTCCAACCCCTGCTTGGTAGGCGGAGCTTCGAAATCATTGGCGACCTTCTCTCGACCTACGACGCTTCGCGCTTTCAGAACACCTACGAGAACTCCTCACCGCGAGATAGGTTTTTCTGGTAATCTTGCGAATCGTTCTCCTAGCATCTCGTAACGATAAGCCGTAACAGAATTCCACGCGCAGCCGATCCTATCCGAACAACGTGTTGTTTCTTTTCCACGAATGGATTGCAATTTCGATGCTAACAATGTTTATTTTCATTCTTTTTTTTTTTTTTTTTTAAACACGATGATATATCGAAAAGGGAAAATCGATATTCGAATGCAAATACCAGCTACAATAGCGTAACGTAAATTATTATATCGCGTTCAACTGTCTAAACCGTATTCGATACTTTACTATAGAAGAAGATGTCTAGTCTATGCAATGGTTAGGGAAGGTGGTTCGACGAATACACGATCCGTTATTGGATATTAGGTTCGAATTACATCGGTTAAAATGATAAATAAATAATTGCTGGTACTCGCCAACCGCTTACACTCGAGGGAAACAAGTATCTCGTATACGTCGTATTACGAAATTGACCCATGTCAGTCGTATCTATAAAATACTCGATCACTGTTTACTGTTCTCTCGATTACTCTATAGAATTGTTATCACTACTTACGAGAAATTGAATACAATTAGATCGTTGCTCGCTGAATTCCGTTATGGATATCCGATCTCGCTAAAATCGTGTTTGACTGTTAATGTCAAACTGCCAAATTAAAAACGAGTTTTATAATCAAACTATGAATTAACATAACTGAATAAAAGCAAAAAATATGCCATTTTACCATTTGTTGTAACCGAGTATTGCGATGCAAAAGGTACGCTTTATATGTGGGTATTTGGTATCGACAATGTTAAATGTGTTAAATCGAGAATGGTATTAAGTATACGATGAATTTATAGTACAATGTAATGTAGCTATTATGCCGACGGATTAAATGTATAAACACGGTTTTTTTGTTCTCTTTACAAAACGTAAAGAACCGGGCCGCCCGTATCTCCCGCCTATCTCATCTCCGTCGTTCCAATGCTGACTGTCGCTGACGATTCGTGCATCGTTCTTCGTGCAGTGTCCAGTGGTGTCCAGACGCGAGTAGGGAGTAGTACAATCGATTTCAACATAACTTTGTCGAAACGAAACGTACCGAACCTTATTATACGTTGTAGGTGAAAAGTAACGAATGTTGGTTGATTCCATGGATCCCGGTAAGCATTAATTTATTCGTCTCTTTATGCGTGAGATCAAGTAATGTAATATAGTTTGAAAAGTTTGCAGAGAGAGGAGAAGGATGAGCAAGCGAAGACGTCTGCAGAGGTTATCGAATGTGTCAATAAAGGTGGTTGTTTCTATTTGGTTCGCTATGGTTGGTTTCTTTATGTGGGAAGAGAAGTAATCTAACGTAATTCCAATTTTGCAGGGAGAAGAGAAGAATAAGTGCTCGAAGATGTTTGCGGAGGTTATATGATGGGAAATGTGAATCGAGGTTAGCTTATGGCTCCTTGGAGTGGAGTCTTTTTTTTTTGCTTTTTTTGTGCTCAAGATTGTGCCTCGAAGCTTATACGAGAGAAGAAACCTCTATAGGAGTGCCTTTTGCTAGTACGATCGCAAAACTCGTCTTGGACAACAAGTGGGTGTTTGCACCGATCTTGATTGTTTGTTGACGAGTGCAGTTGTTGGTACGTAGTGTCAGTGAGATACAGAGTGCGTGTGTGAATCAGAGTGTGGAACATGATACATTGGTTAACTCGTATATATATATATAAATAAGTAAAGTTATAGCATATAACTTTGTAAACGTGTGTATTTTTTGGTAGTTGCAATGATTATATATGATTATTACTTCTTTTAAAGCTTACGAGGGCATAAGTAACATATATATGGAGTAACCTTATACTTGGTAGTAAATCCTAAATGTAATTCATATACATCAAGTGGCAAGGATTCGATCGATGTCTTAGTTTGAAATATTGTATATAAATGAATAATTAAGTAAACAGTTACTTGGTTTTAGTTGAAATATCAAGTATCCAGTAATAATAATGGAATTACTCTCAATGTTAAACAAGCAGCCTTGATTGTGGTTGCAGACATTGATTTTAATTTAAAGATGGCATCATGCACACACGAATACAAACTGAAACTGAAATCATGTTGATCGAACAGGCTTAATACTTGTTCTTTCTTCTTGTGGCACTGGATCGACTCGAAATCAATATTGTTCCGTTTAATCAATCAATCAACCATTTTTCTTTCTCTCTATTTAAATTCGATCTTTCCAGATAGATAAGGTATACGTATAAGGTGCTTCAACAACACATAATGACACTGTTAACACAAATAACAATATGTCAATAGTACATCATTGTCAGGCACATTTGATCATTAAACAGAGACCGAAGCCATTTATAGGAAATCCTTTACTTGATACTCTTTTCACAGAACAACTATTCATAGTTAAGGAATGGTTGGCCCGCTTTCTCTCGCAATTTCCATTTCCATAAGCACACGTTTATCCAAGGGAACACGGTCGAATTAACTAATTAACATAACCTGTAATATCTGTCACGTACAACGTGACTCTATCCCCAGTGGATATCCGAGTGCAAAAGGTTAACGGAATCATAGTCGCGGTATCGTACGTCGTCGATATTAACTAATAAATAATAATAATTATTACTTTCCGCTGTCGGAACCGAATGCAACACAACAGTAGCAATAGATTGATTTCGCATTCCTCGCCGCTAGAGGGACATCAGCGTCAAGTCAGCGACTTTCTCGCAAGCGCTCGAGCAGTCTTTCTCTCGTATATATACAACTTCTAAATCCCTTCCCTTGGGGTCGCAGTCGAGTCGCGCCGCGTTGCGTCGGCACGGGCCGGTCTTCCACCACCACATAGACTAGACTCAAGTCTACTCTACGCGGAAGGAAGATCGGTGCGCGCGCACCGACTCGACTCGACTGTGACCCCCCCTCCCCGGCAGCGCCGGGGAGGGCTGCACCCTTTCCATTTCACCAGTTAATGGCCGACCGGCAACGTAGAAGGACTTCTCTCCTCCCAAGAGGAGAGATTGGTGGCTCTCCCTCACGTTGTCGGGTGGTTAGGTCTGGGTTAGGTCTGGGTTAGGTCTGGGTTAGGTCTGGGTTAGGTCTGGGTTAGGTCTGGGTTAGGTCTGGGTTAGGTCTGGGTTAGGTCTGGGTTAGGTCTGGGTTAGGTCTGGGTTAGGTCTGGGTTAGGTCTGGGTTAGGTCTGGGTTAGGTCTGGGTTAGGTCTGGGTTAGGTCTGGGTTAGGTCTGG